TGGGGGGGAGTTCCTTCGTGGTCATGAAGTACCTCAGGTTGTTGTGATCGGAGAGTACCCGGATCGTAGACGGGCATGTTCGAGGTAGTGCCGCCACGTCTTGAACGACCTCAACTATCGCGGATAGTTCTTTGTCGTGGTGTGCCACCCAGTGACGGGCCGGTGAACTTCTTGCTCCAGAAGGCCACCGGTTTCCAGTGCTTCTCCGTGGGGACATCTGTGTTCGTGGGTTGGAGGAGGATCGCTGCCATAGCGAAGTCAGATGCGTCAGTTAGCACCATCACTGGCTTGGTTGGGTCGAAGTGTTGGTACGGGGCCTCCGTGAACTTCTGTCGCAGTGTTCTGAAAGCCTCTTTGGGGGTCCTCGGGCCATGACCAAGGAGGTACCATTTGGTTGGCCCTTTGCGACTCTTCGCCTTTTCTTCCGAACTTCTCCCGCTTCGGGATTGGTACGGGGTCGGCGGTGATTGGGCGCGTTCATGAGGTCCACCAGCGGGCGGACAATAGCGGAGTAATTATAGATGAACCGTCTGTAGGGTTGCAGAACCCCAGGAAGACTTGGATGTCTTTATATCCCGTTGGTTCTGGCCATTCTGTATTGTTCTGCACCCCGCTGGGTCCATCACGACGCCGCCTGGGGTGACAATGAAGCCCAAGAACTCCACTGACTTCGTTGAGAAGGCGCACTTGCTCGCCTTGCAAAACAACCCCCATTGGGCCAGTCGATCCAGCACCTCTTCGACGTGCCGGTCGTGTTCCGCCTCATTTCCGGAGTAGATGAGGATGTCGTCCAGGTATACCACGCAGGTACGGTCAACCAGGCCTCAAGGGCTCGGTGGACATAGGACTGGGAAAGTTGCTGGGGCTTTGCCAGACCGAACGGCATTACGTTGTACTCGTAATGCCCGTATCGGGTTTTGAAAGCTGCCCTTTCCCTTCATCCTCCCGGATCCGGAGCCTATGATAGGCGTCGCGAAGATCCAGCTCTGGTGTAGATGGCAGCTTTTGACAACCGGTCTAACATCTCGCTGACGAGCGGGATGGGGTACGTCCAATCGTGACCTTGTTAAGGCCACGATAGTCGACGCACAATCGCATTGTGCCATCTGGGCTTTGGGACGAAGAGGATGGGTGCTCCGACCGGCGACTTGCTAGGTCTGATCCATCCTCTCCCCGCGCCGCGGCGAGGTATTCCGTAGTATCTCCAGCTCCCTGCCGGAGAGGTTGTATATCGGAGGTTGGGATCTTCTTCCCTCCCGATCTTTATCGCGTGATCGTATTCGCTGTTCGGGCGGGCCATGCGTGTCTGCCGCTTGCTGAAGGCTAGCCATCTGTGATGTAGCTTGCTCGGGACGTGCTTCAGTTCTTCAGGATCTGGTTCATCGTCTGCCAGGTGGGATTCTGGTGGACTCTCCTCCCCATCGGGGAGAGAGCGGCCCTTTTGCGGAGGGACTGCGGCACGCTGAGGGTCTCCGTTGAATACCGCTGCCACAAGGGGTGGGTGGCCTCCCCAGGGAGGCCAGCCAGATCTGGTGCGTCGGCGATGCACTTGTCGAGGTGGGCTTTGTCCTGTCTACCCAGGTTTTGACCCAGGATGCCTCGACGGTCGTCCAGTCATCATCCCTGATCTCGTCGCCGCTTGGTCCGCTGCGGCGGAGTTTCAGGCGTTTTTGCTTTCAGGGCCTCGAGCAGTTTCCTGACTTGTTCGAGATCGTTGAGCACGACAGTCCCCGGTGTGCACGTAGGCTCGTTCTCCCTTGGCAATGTCGTGAGAGGTCGTGGGTTGGTGATTTGGATTCGGTCCGTGTCGCCCCGGGGCCCCCATCGGAACGTCCCCTTGGGGAAACGGGATCTGGGATCGGCATCGCGGATAAATTAAACCATGTCTCCCTTTAAGCTTGCAGAATCTTTTGGGGCCCACGGTTTTGGGAGTTTCCTTCGTCGTCGCTGCATTCGTGACATCGTACGGTTTGAAGCCGCAGTTCCTGGTCGTCAGGAACCCGCCGTCGGGCGGAATGAAACAGTGGGTTCCATCATGGCGTTCTGGCTCGGAGGCTGATGATGTTAATCCAGCCCAGAGTCGAAAAAGCTCGAGAGGCACTGCCCGGGCCGCGGGAGTTTACCTCTACATCTCGGGGATGCGCTGCCTCCGTAGAGTTCTTCCCCAGTGGCAATAGATTTCGACTAGGGGTTGGCTTTCCGAGTCTTAGGTTTTATCAATCTGCCCTGGTTGTCTCGGTTGCGTGTTTCCAATGAGGTTGAGGTTGTTGCCGTCTTGACGGTCCTCTTGCTTTTTGGTGTGCGTTACATCGTGACTGCTGTCGGCGACGATCTCCATACCCTGGTTGAGGAATATTGGGGTGAATGGACGGTTACCTTCGGCCCACCGTCGGAGCGGGCCTGGGAGGTTCGCCTGGCTGTGTGAAGGCTTGATCTTGCCTCTGCCACCTTGGTCAGTTTGGGGGTTTGGACGCTTGCCTCGACGTCCGCCAAAGCCATCGGAGCCACCCTGATAAAGGGGGCGATTATGGTGCCATTGGCGTCTCTGCGTTGCGCAGTGCTCGCTGAAGTCTATCCAGGTGTAAGCCAACCCGCCGTGCCGCTGCATTTCCCCGCCTCATGATGTCTGGGATCTTGGCCCAGACAAAGGCGACTTGGCTTCATCATCATCCTCATTATCTGGTGTTTTGAAGAAGCTGCGGGAGAAGGACTCCCTCTGCTAGCTTTTAGCAGAAAGTGTTTACTGAATCAGTGTCCTTCCAGACGAGTTAAGAACTTGCATAGTTATCATACTTTGTAAGGAGGGGATCTTGAACGAGGTTGCGCTCCCCGTTCTGACCCAATCCCATCCCTTCGGTGGTCCGTCCCTGAACCGTTGCATGAGGAGTCTCGTCACCGAATGGGGGATAGTACCTAGGGCCCAAAGGGTCCTGGATGGCTGTCCTCGTGAACGGCAGCCATCTCAAAGACGCCCTGACGTCTCTGATCCATTGGTCTACCTGCTGGGGTGTGACTTGCCAGTGTCCCCAGTTTAGCCGAGGAGTGGCGCATTTAGGGCCCTCAGCAGTTTGGATGCGTCACCGTAGTGCTGCTGGGTTTCCGTTGTCTCTCCGACGACGCCCGAGCCGTAGGAGGAGGTTTGGGAGTGGCTACCTTTTGCGGAGTCGCCAGGCGCCTCGGTTCGCCTCTTCTTCGGCTTCCCAAGGGCGTTTGTTACTTGGGCTACCCAATCTTTGGGGGCCAGGGCTGGTGTCCGGGCATGGACGGCCCAAGGGTGAGCCAGGGTTCGCCGTTGTTGTTGTTCCTATCCCATCATGGAAGGATGGTATCGACGCTGCAGCATTTCGGGGCATATGCGCATCAAACCGTGCTGACGGGGGAGAGGATGATCCCCGCCGCTGATCGATGGATCAAGGGTTGGCCCCCCGTGGGAGTAATTCAGGCGCCTCGCTCGAGGGTCCCAGGGGTTTTGGGTCAGGCCCCCAGAGGAGTCTCGCCATTATCGCGACGGCCCTCGGGCTCGTTGCGGTGGTAAAACCCCCAGGTGTCTCACGCTGGAGGAGTTCATCCTCTTGCGTGGTGGTTTCGCGTTGAGCCTGTTGCTCGGTCGCGGATTGATTGGCAACGCTGCGGTCCCGGTCTGGGAGGTGTCGGTGCCCGACGGGCAGCTTGTTTGCCTCGTGTATTGCGTGAAGAGCTCATCTTTCGCGGCTTTTTATGGGAACACTTGTAGCGAAGTGTTTGAAATGGAGTGAAAAGGATATCTTAACGACTGTCCGTCCGACAAGGGGGTGAGAAGGATTCGAATTGTGAGGAGAGTTGGGCAGGCACTGAGATATCGGTATAGGCTTGTATTGAGACGAATCCTTGAGGAGCTATCCCTCAGAGGGATGATATATACCTACGTCACGTGATTGTGGCTGGTGTGATCCGACGGTGCCCCGAAGGGTTCCCGGTGGCTCACCAGTCTGTGGCTGGAATCCTGTGGTGATGGAACATCGTGACAGTAGTGGCCTGAGTAATATTAAACAAACCACTACCGCCAGCGTCGATAGTTTTGTAGATGTAGCAGTACTTGCACACAAACCAGATCTAATTAGTAGCCTGGCGCTTAACAACGCAGTAGCTATACTGAAAAATCTAGCTTTTAGGACGCTTAGAGCCCGCTAGTAGCTTTATGTAGCTAGGTAAACGAGCCTAGTTAATGCCGTTAAAGCTATCAGCAGCGCTGTTTATCTTATCTTGGCTATTATCTTTGTCTCTAGCCTTAGTTGTAGCCACCGTAACAGCCCTGCTACCCTTAGTAGGCGCAACAATATTATCCTCTACATGCGATTCCAAAAACTGCGACTTAAATGTAGGGACTAGCGACGAGACAGTAGCCTGGCTTACGGCAGCGAGGGCTTTACGAGGCGATCGACGCTGAGATGCTAGCTGAGATGCTAGCTAAGATGAGGCCGCAGGAGTTGAGATGACGTCGTTGGTAGCAGCAGCTACTCTCAAACGTTTACTACTCGAAGAGGTATGTAGTACACGGCGTTTGGCCATATTAGGGCAGTTGAAAACACCAGAAAGAAGCGTCAATACAGGAAAATAGAAATCGCGACAGGCTTTAAAACAAGGCTGAGGTTAGGATAGGAGTAGGGCGCTAAGCTATTTTAGCAGCTGTGTAGCCTATTGTAGCCTGTTTAGGAAATAGCTGAGGTAGTTGCAGCACTAAAAAGAACTGCAAGGCTAAAAAAGCATCGCGAGATCTGCTATACAGTCGATTATAGTTAATTTAACCAAGTAAACTAAGCAAGTCAAGCAAGTAAGGCACGCTAACTTGACTTGCTTGGTTCGCTGTGCAGCTCTGACTTGACTTGCTTGCTTGGTATGAACCAAGCAAGTTTGAACAAGCAAGCAAGTCAACTTGCTTTTTGGCAACACTGGCAGTGGCAACACGGTAATAAAGATCGTATCCGCCTGCACGCTCACTGCACCACAACACTCCAAAAATAATGATTTCGCAGCAGCATTTCACTGACGAACCCGTGCAGACTCACTATCGTATTGAAGCTACCTTGGCGCCTGCAGAATTGCAAGCATTTCAACAGTTTAAAGATAAATGCTGTGACTCTGGTTTTCTCGATCATTCGAATACGGCTAGTAGAGACAATCATGTCGGCACTAGCGACAATGTCACCATATTGTACGTCTTCCTTCAGAAGCCTTACACAAAAACGTGCTGACAAGCTTCTAGGAGGTTCTTGCGTGCGCGCAAGTTCGATGTAGATAGTGCATTTGCTCAGTTCGCGCACGCACGTGAGTTACACCGATTGAACGGTATCATCGAAGGGTACGACCACATCGATGTCCAGGAGTACGAAGAAGCAAAAAAGCTTGTACGTGCTTTACAGTAAACGTTTCACATTGATTGACATGTTCCAGTACCCGCATTGGACTGGAAGAAGAGACAGAAGAGGACTTCCGATCTGCTTTTTTGACATCTCATACCTTGACGCCCAGAGGATGAAGAGCTACACGGGGTCTGCGAATGAAGTGATTCGCGCACTTACCGTTCATGATGGGTTGACGCGATTTGTACTACCGCTCTGCTCGATGGCGGCTGCTTGTACAGGCACCACTACTCCTGTCTCTTCGTGCTTATACATCGTAGACATCTCGACATTTGGATTGAAGCAAGCTTGGAGCCTGAGGAAGTACACCCAGGATATCAGCAAACTGCTTGCGACAAGCTACCCTGAGGTGATTGATCGAGTTTGGGTGAGTGCCTTCCTAGGCCAAAAACATTCTCAAACTTTTCAATTACTGACCAGTATTCAGGTCATTGGCGCGCCATCTTACTTCGCAAACGTATGGGGCTGGATTAAAGGGTGGATCGACCCCGTCACTGCGGCAAAGATCATCTTCGTTTCGTCCTCCGAAGCTCTAGCTAAGATGACGGAGTTCATTGACCATGACAACATTCCGTTACGCTATGGTGGAAAATTTGATTATTCCCATGGCGCGTTGCCCGTGCTCGACGATGCGCTTATCGCTGCACTGACGTGGCCCGAAAATGGAGCTAAGCGACTGCCTGCGGGACCATTCAAATGGGCACAAGACTGGGAACGAGATCGGGCTCTCATGGCTGTAGGAACCGAACACGGGAAAGAGCGGAGGCAGCAGGTCGCTGTCATGAAGCCAAAATGATGGAGACGATCGATTTCAGAAAACAGCGTTCAATTTAAGGATGTGTCTGAAAACATGCATAAGCTTTACCTGCGCCTGCGGATAATTGCGAAATCCTTACTGGGAAATCATTGGGGGCTGCAAAAGTGGGCCCACGATCAACGACGCTACTCTAATAATGTGGACCATCTTCGGCCAGCGAACTCCGTTCTGTGCATGGCATTTCATATCGACGACTTTTATATCCATCTTGCATCATCATCACTACACGAAAGGTCGAAGCAGACTTACGTGATCCAGAGATCCCCATGGATTTTTATGAATTTTTCGCTCGTGCCACACTTTTTGTAGTTTCTCAGCATCCCCACTGTAGTGAGCTATCCATTTGGCGTTATATAGTTTCTACGATACGGCAAATGAGAGAGGGTGATAATATGAAGTTACGGCTACCCACTACACTAACGTCAGCTCCCTTCCTGTCAAGCACTGAGTGAATCAGTTACCGTGTCCGTGCACTCAATGCACGCGATCGCGATTTCATCCCCACTCTAACAGCCCCATCTCTCAACGCCACGATGTCTACGGAAGAAGCCCTTAACCCTGACGAAGATTTTCGATATACAGAGATAACCAAGAAACATGGTGTTGCTCGCTCAACAGTGTCCCGGAAGCACCGAGGTGTCAGCGTGACGCGTGCGGAGGCAGGTTTGGCACGTCGATATCTTCAACCAGAACAGGAGGCAGAGCTTGTGAAGTACAGAGAGGACTTAAAAAAGTGAAAGCTACCTCCCACAAGAGAAATGGTGCAGAATTACGCGTCTGATATTGCTGGACACCTTGTCTCTGAAAGCTGAGTTGCTCGCTTCCTCCACCGACACCAAGATGAGCTCACACCTCAATCGAGCATCGCCATGGACCGCAATCGCCACGCTGCTGACTCTGGTGATAAGTGAGAGATGTACTTAGAACAGCTAGGCAGCAAAATCGACTTCTACGGAGTGGAGCCTGAGCATACCTACAATATGGATGAGACAAGCTTCATGGTTGGAGTAGTTGGTAGACAGAAGAGGATCTTCAGCAAGAGGTTGTTCAAGAAGAAGCAATTCAAGCGGATGCTTCAGGACGGTAATCATGAATGGATAAGCTTGTTGGCGGGTGTCTGCGCCGATGGTACAGTGTTTCAGCGCTTCACAGCACCGAAAGCTCGAAGAAAGTACCGCCTGTTGCTTGTAGATGGCCACAGCAGCCATCTCACAGAAGAATTCTTAGAGTATTGCTATAGGCACAAGATACTGTTAGCTGCCTACTCACCCCACACTATCTATACGCTGCAGCCGCTTAATGTAATGATCTTGAAGCCTCTTAATACTGCGTACTCGAAGAAGCTAGCAACACACCTTTACAGGCACTAAGAATTAGTTCCTGTAAAAAAGGGCAACTTCTTTAGCTTATTTCAGGACGCATAGGTAAGCAGCTTTACTAAAACTAACATCCTAAATCCTTTAAGGCAACAGTTGTACACCCCTTTAACCCTAGCGTTATACTTAATTGCTTTACTAACAACGATTTAGACAGTTTAAGCTTAGCGTTATCTAAAGCCCTATACTACAGCAGAGACGAGTAGAGAAAGTTAGACAGTGTAGCACGCCGTGCGCTGTGTAGTGCCTTAGAGAAGGACGCATCTACCATTTTGCAATCACTCTACTACATAGCGATATAGAACAGCCTTCTAAATAGCGAAAATGACGTCCTCCGCGGCGCACTCACTACTAAGAAGAGTTAAAGCAAGGGCAAGTCCAGAGACTTGCTACAACACTATGAGTACTGGGGACTAAACAGGTCGCTGAACGCAAGAAGGAGCAAGAGCGTCAAAAGCAACTTCGCGACTCTAAAAATTTTATACAGAAGCCCTCTACAAGCGAGCGCAAGGCCTTGCAGCGACGAAGGGCTAGAAAGAAGCAGAATCGTGGTGCTGGGGATGATGCGGGTGGTCCCTCGGCCGTAGCCCGCACTCCGACACCTCTACACTAAACCAACAGCCGTGGGAGGAAAATACTTCGGCCAAGAGGGTTTTGGTGAGAAAGCTTTTTGCATAGGTTAATAGAATAATCTACTAACAAATCTTGCAATAATAGCTGTAAGCCTAAGACCACATCACATGACTGCTCTGGAGGCACGACTAATCCGTCCGACTACTTTAGAGGTCAAATCACGCACTTGTACATATACACAACGACACTAGTTCCTCCTTTGCTCACATACACTCTATTCTATACTTCCAGTTTCTGCAATAACGACCTCAAAGTCCAATTTTCTCTTGCTGTGTGCTTCTCGATCTTCGTGACACTCGCGTATGCCTGCTCCTGCAGCCTCTTTAATGTCTCTTGCGTGTACACTGTACTCCCCGCAAGTCTAAGCTGCTCCAGCGCAAGCCGCTTCTGCACATCCAATAGATATTCGATGTCTCGCCTCCGCTAGAGGAGGTCACGCAGTCGAGTGTCATTTGAATGGAAGGTCAGGGCATGGATAAGCGGGAAAGAAAATTTGCCCTCGTCCAGGTCTTCGCAGAACCCTTTTTGAGCACTGCATTCCGCGGATTGGAGGTTCTCGTAATCGTCTCGGATCTGGAATTGTATGCCGATCAGGCTAACGAGGTTTTGATGTCGTCGTGGAGGTGGATATGTGACGACATGTCCCAGGTACATGCGCTCGCTCTATTCGCGAGCGGTAGTCGCGCTAACAACCAGAATAGACCCCCCGTTTTTTTCGTCACCATCTCTAGATACTCACCTTCAGAGGAGCAAATACCGTGACGCGTTCAGTGAAGGTCGTAGCTTTGACTAGCGTGCAACTCCGCAAGCTGCTCAAGAACGATTTCCGCATTCGTGGCTGATGGGACGCTTAGCTGTCGAGCTTCGTTCACAGCTTGCAGAATCTTATAACACATAGAGTTAATCGTCTGTGCCATACTAAATACGGTATGTGTTACTGGCTGGCCTCGTCGAAGGTTGGAGCCGTCTTTAATGTTATCGAGCATAAGGGATGCAGCGTGTAAACGGCTGCCTAGCGATTTAATACGGGACACAATAGGTTTAGGTACGTCGAGCTAAATGTTTAGTGCGTTAATGAAGGTATCTCGCACGCCTTTAGAGGAGAGTAAGATCATGTAGTCGAAGGGCGCTTGGGCGTGTCTCGAATCTAAATGTGCATTCCTTGTGGTACTAGCGGAAGTCGTCTGCTTGGTTTCCGAGCTTGGAGAGTAAGAGGATGCAGAAGACGAGGTAGAGACATAGTCATCTATTGATGAACCATCATCGTTGGAAACCGTCATGAAAGTCTCGGTTGAGGTGTGCCTGGATCGTCCGCCGTCGAGAGCTGATCCCTTTGAGCTAGCGTCGTCTCTGTCTTCGTTTACTTCGATGACCCCTTAAGCATCGTGATCGACACTTAAAACTTTCGGGAGCGACTTCGCTATTAATGAATCCTTAATACCCGCATTTGGATTATATCTGTGCAGTAGATAATACTGCGGACAATGTAAACTCTAAACAACATTTCTACTAACCTAGTATAACAGCGCTTCTAAATACTTATCTAATTTCTTTATTAAGTGCGCATTCTTTCGCTAGTATTCTGCGCGCTTCTCTAGGAACTACCCTTTATATTGTTTTGTCGCTTATTTAGTTATCTATTTCGCGGCGTTGCTGTTAACATAATACTATTGCATGTAAAGTTAGACGAAGTTCGTTAGCGTTTTAGATTCTTCTAATTTTCTAAAACTTAGCGTACTTACAGTTAAAAGAGAAATAGTTATTAGCTAGATTAAGAGCTGCGTAGCATAATTTGCAAATAGAATTAAGCTAGGCGTCTTCTTCTTTGCTTAGTGTTATGCCTATACTAAAGAGTAACGTAGCTTCTACAAAGCTGCATTAAACTTATTAGTATTACATATCTTAATAAGCGATTTAATAATGAAATATACTTACGGCGCTCTATTGCTAACGATGCAGGAATCTACTTACTCGTCTAACGATGTAAACTGCTTATCCTTGTCGCATAGAGTCGTAGCGATTATCTCTTGCTATACACGTTTAACCCGTTCTGTATATGCTTTATTAGTTAATACGAGTTGCATTATTATCTTTCCTTAGATTTGTGTCTTGCCTAATGCTAGATTCGTGTTCTTCCACTCCTGCTACTTGTAGTAATCGGAACTCGACTACAATCGTCAGCAAATAAAAAACTGCGGTCAAAATATTTCACATATAGCGTACTGTATCTGGCTGCTCAAGCTCGATCATATTGTCGTACAAGAATGCATCTACAACCAGGTCAGCGAGTCGCCACTATAATTGTCAGGAACGCAGCCCTGCACCACTACGCCATGCAACCAAAAAGGTACGTATGATCAGTGAACTACTGATCAGGGTGCAGGATAGTATATATCGTCAGCGAGGCCTGACAATAATGAAGCAGGCGATAACCATAATCTCGCAACATAGCACAATACGCAGTGAACTATTTACACTCAAGCACGTAAGCACTCAATCGTAGCCGCTCTGGTTTAGAAAGCAGAAGAATGAAAGCAGAAAAGTTTCCGTTGATGGGGTTGCATCCGCCAAACTGCTCGATAGGCCCAATGTACTTGATCCAGTCTAACCTCGCTTCACGGCACCCAGCATTAGCCTCCTCCTCGCACTTGTGTCGCCTTAATTTGTAGTTCGAGCAAAGACCATGTATATCGTACTAGGAGATGGGGATAAGGTAAGAGGATACGTCGTCTGAGGCTTGCGTCGACATGTTAATTGTTATGTTTTGAGTAATAAAATACAAATCGACGGCGCGGCTAATCATGCTAAAGAAGCTCTCTAAATAGGCCTACCAACGACACATATGCAGAGCAGCTTCAGAACGACACCCTGTGTAACCATATGTCCGCGACCGCTTGCCTTAGCATCACTATTAGACCATCCCTCCTCGTGTGGTAAGTGTTAAGAGGATATGTGGGGCGATTCATGCTGTAGAAACGGAAGCTTATAGGTACTCCTGTGGATTGCCAATCAGGTCATGTTACCGCGCTTGATTGCTTGGAACGTCGCTGTTCCAATTGAGTTGTCGGTTAGACTCTCTTCAATCATGACGTAATGCCGGAAAAAGAAAGTTCACAGGATCTGTTGAACCAGTATAAGGAGATAGTTATTGAGCACTTGAGGGTGGCAGGTAAATGACGTTCGTGTTGTGCGATAGCGGATTTCTTCGACACGCTCAACAATGCGGCTTCACGTACCTTTTTCGTTGATCAACGCTCCGCAGTGGGTCGTATGCAGGAGCTACGTACCAAACACGACCTGAATTTACTTTTTATGGTCTCCACGGTCCACTTGTGCAACAGCCCTGGGTAGAGTAGAACACTCAAGTGATCGACTAGATTCATTCATTCTTAAGGGCGTCACAGACTCTATTTTGCGCCGTATCGGCTCGACTGGAGATCAATCTAGTCAATCACTTGACTATTGCCAACTCAATTTCTGAGAAACCTCGGCCTGAACGCTCCCGATTTATTCAGAAGGCAACTCGCGACGCTGAAAAAGCTATACAATTGTTCTAAAAGGGTAAGCGTAAGGTCTCACAGGTCTCTACTCAAAAGCAGAAGCGTCAGAAACGTGTTGGTATTGATCTATCTCATGCACAGGGGTTGAGGCTGCCCCAGCTCTTCCACCTCAACGTACCCGAACGCGAACGATATCACGGGCACAGACACGGTAACCAAATTTAGTAAGGCTTTAACTCATGTGAGCTAGTGAGTTCCCATATTAAGTTAGATCGGTTTGATTGGCTTGATTGTTGACTATTCTGTTCTTTTGATGGGTGCCAGAACCGTGTCTGCTAGTGCACGCAGCACAGCAGGGATATTGTGAACTGCAAGAGAACAGCGCTTGGACTAAAAGAAAACACAGTTGATGTGCACAAACGTGTTTTTCTTTCGGTATGGGCAGATCCACAAATTCCTATAAATTACAAGTGTAGAGCATCTGCGAACTAGACCTCTCCATTCTACCCCGTTAGAACATCTTGTCCAAAGTCCACGATGGAGCTATAGAAGCTAAGGATTGTTTGCATGAATGAAGAAACGACCTATTTTATTTGCCAATCTCGCTCAAAGATACACATCGGCTCACAATCGTATCGCCTCAACCAGGGACGACACAATAAGCAAGAACTCTCATAAGCTGGAGAAACGTCTTGAAGGGGATATCGTTCTTCTAGTTGCATCAGATGACCATAATTTACTGATGAACTATAATATCCTAGTTGATGATGTAACTTCCTCGCATCTTGAGTTTCTGCATCGTCACTTTGACCATGACAAGATTTGTGCCCTAAATTGGCGACCTGTAAGGCAGTAATGAATGAGGTGTCGTTCGTGAGTAGCGATCGGGAATCCAAGACGAAAGATGATGAAGTTAGTTTGTATAAATGAGATTTGGGCGCCCAAGAGCTTCATGTTAATGGCTACAACACTGGAGACTTTGAAGTGGATAGAGCAAAAGGGAAAGCCAAGCGCGAATACGAACAGATCTGAGGAATATAAAATGAAAATTCGGAGAGAAGACGTCAGTCGAATGCATACAATGAGCCAAGGCCGGAAAAAATTGCTTGTAGATGAGCACAAGGATGGAGTGACGGGTGTGCTGTGTTTGCAACTTGTGCTTACTGATGAAACACAGTCGCCAGTCTTATGGATACATCTCACGCACTCAGGTGACGTTATAGGGCTATCCGGAAATAGGCACTTGGGTAACACCTAGGTAGCTTGGTGGAAAGATCTACGCTCAGGAATTTCGCCCGAGAACTCAGCACGGGTATGACGGCGAAATGAGAAGAAGTTAATCTACCAAAGCTCTGCGCGTTGATGGCTTTAACTATCTCTGGAGAATGGTGAAGTGGAGCACATGTTCGCGAGACTGTGGAGCACGTTGCGCAACGCCTCCCACCAGCACGTCCATTGAACGCTGGACAGCTGTTAGGCATGGCCGATCGCAAAAGCGATTCAGTGCAACCGTGGGAACTATATTCCTCAAATGTTGGTACAGAGTTGTTTTTACTGGCCCAGGCGGAAACAAAACAAACGCAGTCCATGCATATTGCTGCATCGTCCGGCAAAGGCAGGGTGTTTGAATGAACGAAGTTGTCCGCAGCCTTTGCGAAGCTTTGAGATCCACAGGATTTCAACGCTGAACCACGTTTCAAAACGACTGAAGGCGATGTGGAAAAGTTGTTGTGGCTTGAAAGGCATTGGATGACAGGCTGTGGAATGACCGGTACGCTAAGCCTGAAGTGCACTACCGGTAGATTAACGTCGATTGAACTCGCGTATTGCTCAGATCCTAGCCTTTCGCAACCTCCGGCAGCTTTTTCATGGAAATGAACAGCCCTAACATAATGGTAAAACTTCGTCGCTATCTCTCTAGATATCTGCAAGACTACTACCAGAAAGGCTGAACACTCCTCAATGACCTGCTAGCTTGGCCGGTCACCGCCCTGGCGCCCACTACAATGTCGCATTAACACTTTATAGCCCGCACACGTTGACAACAATTTACAGCTCTGGCAGAGGAAACAAAACACGGGGTTGCGAAAGGCGAAGTCTCGGAAGTTTAGCTCTTCGCACTGTCTAGAGACTTCCGATTTCAGTCAAAAACGAACACCTACAGTAGGCCTCTGCTAGTCAACTCCAGTCCAATGTACTCTTACTCTGCCACAATGGGCTCCCTTTTTCTGAAAGACCCATTCGGCCCGTAAAGCTTTCTGTCAGTCTCCTACAGTCCGGATGAGCGCCTGTGCATAAGCGGTTGACACGGCTGCAGATCATGAGTATAAAAAAGACACGCAAACGTCGAAACGAACCAAAGTTTACATGCATGCGTATCGGCGACGATCGTAGTGCCATTTTATGCATGTGGCAGGAAATCAATCTACCCAATTATTCCCTTTGTTACTATACTCTAGTCACATTACGCGCCACTAACAATTCGTCAGCCTTGAACCACATGGCTGGCCCTCACATGTACCAACCTTCGAACCCTAAGTAATCTTGGCCCTTTGCACTGCAAGGTGGATTGAGAAAGCGACTAGGCGATAACAGCGAAGACACAAAATGACCGCCTAACCATGCCTTCGGGTTTTGACGCCGGCCTGACGCTCGCGTAGGCCGGGGTAGGTGTCAACTTGACACTAGCAGAACCGTTGAAGAATGTTGGGTGGCTAGGTAGCTCCAACCTCGGCATATTACGATTCCTTAGAACCCCCGTATTCAGCGAGCTGGGAGACTATAAAGACTTCTTGGACATGCTGACACCTTGAAGCATCAGCCACTCTTTAACATTCGCGTGGTCGTTACTCGTTATTCACTACTTGAATATCATGAAGAATTACCTTTCCTTTGTTGTCGAAGCCATTTTGGTCTCACAGGCACTTGCTGATGACAGCTCATGGCTCAGTCCGGTTTACAAGCACACCTTTCAATACGAGCTTCCTATCCCTCCTACCAAAGTCAAATCATACACCTACAAGAACGCGTCCTCTGGAAATGAGATAGATTTCTACGAGGTCGACGTCAAGCCCTACAAGCAACAGATATATCCCGACCTAGGACCAGCTACGCTTGTGGGGTACGATGGCATGTCACCAGGACCCACCTTCAGGGTTACCAGAGGACGAGAGTCTATCGTTCGCGTTAAAAATCGCAGCGATAAGGATATTTCAGTACATCTTCATGGTTCACATAGTCGTGCACCGTTCGATGGATGGGCTGAGGATACCACTGGGCCTGGCCAATACAAAGACTACTGTAAGTGCGAACAAACACACACTGTTTCGTACAATACTAACATTGTTAGACTACCCAAACAAGCAGAGCGGCCGAACAATGTGGTATCACGACCATGCCGTTGGTATTACTGCAGAGAACGACTACATCGGCCAATCCGGTTTCTACATCCTCGAAGACCCCGCCGAAAGCGCCCTGGACTTTCCTGCTAACGAATACGATGTACCCCTCGCACTGGCATCAAAGCAGTATAACAAAGATGGTACTCTTTTCGATCCTTCAGGCGAGATCTTCGGTCTTCCGGGCGACATCATTCAAGTTAACGGTCAGCCGTGGCCCTACATGAAAGTGGAGCCTCGCAAGTACCGTTTCAGGATCCTGAACACCGCCATCAGCCGAACGTTCAAGCTCTCTCTCGAAAACGAAGAGAACAAAAACGTCGCATTCAACGTTATTGCCGCCGATTCCGGTCTCCTAACCAAGCCAGTAAAAACGGAAAATCTCGAGATCTCCATGGCCGAGCGCTGGGAAATCATCGTCGACTTCACCAAATATGCTGGACAAAACGTAACGATGAAGAACGCGCGCAAAGTCCAAGCTGACCCCGATTACCACAGCACAGACAAAGTCATGCGCTTCGTCGTCGGCTGGGGCATAACCTTCTCCAACGGCAACGGCGACATCCCTAGCACGCTCCGCGACGTACCTTTCCCACCTAAGAAAACAAGCATCGACAAGAGTTTCAAGTTCCAATTTGAGGGTGGCAAGTGGCTCGTAAACGGTGTATCTTTCGCCGACGTTAATAACCGGATCCTCGCCAAGCCCCAGCGCGGTACAGTCGAAGTCTGGGAGTTGGAAAACGCCGCCGGCCTATGGAGTCACCCTGTTCACATTCACCTCGTCGACTTCCAGATTCTGTCGCGCACTGGGGGGACTCGCGAGGTGCTGCCATATGAGAAGGAGGCGTTGAAGGATGTGGTGTTGCTTGGTGTGAATGAGAAGGTTACGGTTATTGCAAGGTATGCGCCGTATGAGGGGGTGTATATGTTCCATTGCCACAACGTCATCCACGAGGATCATGATATGATGGCTGCTTTCAACGTTACCAGCTTGACTGATTGGGGATACCCTGAGAAGACCAAGTTGGCCGACCCGATGGATAAGAAGTATCGCGCCAAAGATATTAGCGACGAAGATAACGAGGAAAAGAAGATTCTGGACAGGTGTGCGGATTTCGAGGCGCTGGAGGCGTATGTTGATTCTGAGAAGATGGAGGAGTCATTGAGGGAGTATTGGGGTAATCGAGGAAAGGGTCAGGGTAAACTTGGTGCTAAGGCTCGGGACTCCTCGTCTGTGAAGAGGAGGCATAGGATGCTTGAAGTTAATGTGTAATCATGGTGTTTAGTGTTTATATGCAGATACAATTTGTAGCTCCCAAAATGGGGGTGGTAGTGTAATAGGCTAGAAGCCTCGTTGTAGTGTTGCTCCTCGGTGAAACCTTCGGTACTTCGTCGAAAAGAGTAGGGCCTTTAAAGCCCCTCGAAGCTTCTCGACTATGACAAGGTAGATACGAATCCGAACTTACTCCTAGACAGCTTGACTTTCCATCGAATACAATCCTGTTATCAGGCATCAGCAACCTTTGCGCAGCCTCGTACAGATAGGGTGTATAGAATAAAGATTGTCCAATAAACTACCTTTTACAGCCTTCTCCAGCCCCATACACTCGGCCAAATTCGTATATCCTAACCAAAGGCGAAAAGCAACCTGTCTAGTTAGTCATCTAAGGTCAATCTTATTCCACTACAATTTATCGTTATCAGGCAGGGCACCACAAGACTCTAGTTCCGCAGCTTTTAGCTTCTTAGCTTTCGTTTCTTACCCGCAAAGCCAACGAGTTTAGTAATGCATATATCGCTAGTCTAAGTCCTCTTACATAATGTTGTGGTAGAGAATCTAGGGGAACTGCAGATCTGAAGGGCTATCGGACTCGGAGATATCGCGTAGGGTAGAAAAGGGACAGGAACGTCTGAACTAGGTTCAGACAACGAACACGACACACACAATACACAATAATATACTCTATCTACTTGTATCGAGCACCTGTTCCAATAGATGACAACCAGAATACTCTACTACAGTGTAGTGTTTACAGGGCGAATATAATAATGCTACATAATCATATAGATCCTTTCTAGCTGTTCTAGCTTAGGGCATAGCAAATTTAGATTATTATAATCATTTAGCTTGCTAGTATTAAAGCAACGTTTATAACCTTATATTTAAGAGGTATAGACTTGTTAACAGGCAAATTAATCGATAGTTCAAATACTTAGATAAGAAAACCTAGATAGAAACTAGCTTATTTAGGTATCTCACCCCCTCTGGTGGTATCCAGACGCCATGCGAAGGGAGGACTTTTATCCTGAAAGCGGCCTTTTGATCGTTAGTAATGGTTTCAATGGGTGCGCAGGCTTCCTGACAACGTTCGAGCTTTCCTGCGCTATATTAAATAAAGCGAGAATGCGACGAGAGGTTGATGCTTCGTGGGCATGGCACAATGGTGAGATCACCGACATTAAGCACAAGTTTGCGACCATACGAAACGATATTGAGCAGTGCCTAGACGAGATCAAAGACATAGATGTAATACTGTCATACGAGAAAGAAAGAAACGCTCTTACCCACCTCACAGAGCGTCATAGAGAACTCGTTCAGCGAATCAAGTCAAACGATACGGAAGAGGCGAAGCTTCGAGAACGCCAGAATGGGGCCAACGCCAGGCAACAAGATGTACTAGAAAAATCCAAGGTCAGCGAGTACTCTTTGCGGCTTTTGTTTGATGATCTGTTGTTCAAAATCGGCGTTCTGTCCAATATTAATAGCATCGATAAGAACCCACGAGTTCAAGTCATAGACGAAGACGGATCTTGGGCCGATTGGTACTGGTCTGAAGACAACTGGAATGATGAAGTTGCAGAGGAATGGAAGCATGCACCGGTCGAGTTGCATGATGCAATAACTACTAATCCTTCGCAATGCGACGATCCAGAGAACACCTGGAATAATGCTTGGAAATACTATCCGGTTGAGGAGCCTCTGATGCAATTGCAAGATATTTCCCACCAAAGGGCAGAAGAGGCGAACCGTGTAGAGTTAGAATTCATTAAGATCCGTGAGCGATACGACTACGAGTTGAAAGCTTATTTGTTCCATCAGAAAGGGCAATATCACGGTGAAGAGGATGATGAAGAAGAAAGGCAGCAGCGACTAGAAGAAGAGTTTGGTCCAATATGGCTACAGAGATGCCGAGAAGTCTCCGGAAAAATGGAGGAAGCCGACGAAGCATATATGCAAGCAGAGCAAGCTCTCTCGATGCAAATCGGCGGGATCGCGAAACTAAAAGAGGCAAATCAGAACCGCGACGACATCTGTTGGTCCAGAGACAAGCCGTATTGTGACAACCGCTTGGGGCGTTACTGCCGCTTCGTAAGCGACGCTGCATTGACGAATGGCGGAATGATACATCTATAGAACCCGTTGATGAAGATGAGCAAAGACATAGAGATGCGCAGGAGAACTTCTTCCCCGCCTCAACCGACATTACGAGCAACTCGCTGTCCATCTGTGGAGAGGATGTCGCACGCGCCACAGGTCACAAACGTCGAAAGATCGACTGTCGAGATACATGCATCGAAACGAAGAACAACGTCAACACACATCCGACGATACAATACTAAAGCTGCATCTCGCGTGGGCGTGGAAAATGGAAGAGGACATGCAGAGTCCGAGCCTAATTTCCGTGGCGGGAGGGCCGATGAATCAGCACGCCTAGAAGGCCATTCTCATCTTAAGCTTATCACCCTCGACAATCTCATCCGTCTTCTCAACAAGCTCATGCATATCCAATGTACAACTCACATAGCTCCCCGCCAACCAAACAATCGTATCACCAGCAACATCTGGACGATCTGGAAACCTGTTTCTCACTTCCTCCGGTGCCGTTTCCGTAATCTTGGTCTTGATTGCACCGAGGTTTACACAAAAGGCCAGAAGTCCTTGATCACCATACTCCAGCTGCAGGGTTTTCGTTCATCGCAGAATAGCAAGTTTTGAGCTGCGGTAACGCGCGCTTCCAGGACGAGCAGTCAATGCACCAGAGGAGGCTACGTTGATCATTTTGCATAGCTCTTTCCCGCTGGTATGCGACGACAGCTGTAAAGGGAGAAACACACGCGCCATGTTGAAGAGACCCCCGACGTTGACCTCATAACTTCGCCAGTATACGTCTGGATCTGTCTCAAGCAGCGGCACGTATGGTTCCATGTGGGCTGCATTGTTCACTACAATGTGTAGTCGGCTATCAAAAGCGCGTGAAACGGTCTTGTACATGGCCTGGACGCTGTCTAGTTTTGATATGTCGACCGTGCAACATACCACTGTAGGTTCGGTGCGTCCAGCATGCATTGCAGCTTCTTTCAATCTTGTGGCCAACTCGTCTGATACGCCATGTAAATTAGCCACTGCTATTGCAGTTGCCCCAGCACGCGCAAACGCCGTAGCTGTGGCATACCCGACTCCGTTCTCCCATGCTGCACCGGTAACCAAGACGTGTTTGCCAGTCAGATCCGGTTTCAAGGGCGAGATGGATTCGAAGGTCGTAGAGTGCCATGTGGCTGTAAAGTCGCCACCAGAGAGCTTGTATCGAGCTTCAACCGTGTGTATATTGTGATACGCGTAAGAGGTGCAGTCTAAAAGTATAGGGGTGTGAGGATGACGAAGCAACGAGGGATAACAGGCAGGTGGAAGCTCTGCGGTAGTCGATCGCCTTGCGCACGTATGAACCTCAAGTCTCAAATGGTTATTGCAAGACGAGTGGACTGTGAGGCACTAGATTGGGGTCGTTTAGTCGATCACTAATCAACTGAATCATGCCTTATCACCAGTATTCTTGTGCAGACTTTGTGTAGGTATAGGAGCTGCATTTGTAATTAAGTTGATGTCGCAGTAGATCTTAGTTGTCGCCTGAATGCGTCTTCGATCTCTTGTCTTCGTAAGTATCAATTACAATCTTGTGTCTCGACATACGGCTACGTATTGTCAGATCACCCTCGAGACGTCAGTCAAGACACAATAGGTCTGTAATGATGCTAAGCGGAGTCGTATATGAGGCCTTCCATCATGTTGCGGATCATCAAGGAATGCGATCAGACTACGAGGAATTGCGATACTCCAGGCTCAGCAGTGCGGCGTCCCTATAGTCAGTTGAATTGTGAGCACATCTATCAGATAAGCATCACTTACCTCCTCGACTGTCAAAAACACGAAAAGCTCAAGATCATCACCATTCCCTCTCTTCCCCACCATTGTTCTCTATGCTTGACCGCTTCACTTCCCAGCCTCTTGGTCGTACGTGTTCCCAGCCACCTCTTTAACTTTCGTACAGCTAAGTTTTCCTTTGACCAGCCTCCTCAAATTTGTCACCGCTCTTTTCAGGTTGCTCCGCTGTTGTCACACAGTCCACGTCGCTCATTGCGCAACCAAAGCAAAGCTTAAAGAACGTGCTAGCAAAAGGGGGATAGGCTGGATGTCTCGGTTTGGAGAGGAGTGGGATGTTGTGATGTTATAGTGTGTTGGATGGCTAGTGCGGTGGATGGGAGTAAGGAAGAGGGTAAGGGATTGATGAAGCGGATCGGAATGAGGATGAAAATGAGCTGTGGCTATTAATTTGCTCTCGTGAGTCCGTAAGTTTGTAATTGATACGTATGCGTTACATAAAGGCAGCGTGAAAGGTCCGTAGTACTTCGCAATAATCATGACCCATAATCTCGCCATGCGCCAAGTGACCCAAAGACTCCAAAGCAGCAAGCGGCCAACGACGGGATCTTGATGCCCATGTACTGTCGTCTAAATGGTATAAACGTGAGGAATAAAGCAACGCTAAATGCTGATGTGCGATGATGAAGGAAACGCCAAACGCTATGATGATGAGAATGAAACTTGGCGGTCGTGGACAATTAAACGGCAACGGTGTGAGCGCGGAACAACATCTTCAAGCCTGAAGGCTCTTTTTCCTTCTTCTTGGTCTTGCTGCTTTCTTTGCCGGATTTGCTGGAGACACTGGGGGCGACTTTACTTGAGGCAACCTTACTTGAGGCGCTCTTTTCCTTACTGGAATGACGCTTGGAATCGGAAGCCTTGCTGGTCCTGACACTGGCTTCGGACTTTGGTGCACGATGTGACTTGTGCTCCTTGTGTTTTGAGTCGCTGGTCCTCTTGGATCTGGTGCTGCGACGGGACTTGAGGTCGTCTTCGTCAAGCACGCCAGCGGCGCAAAGGGTGCGCGATGCTTCGGGTGTGATGAATTCACCGTCAACACTTGTGCCAGCGCTGTTGGCCTCAACGTCTGCGATGCCACGGCGCCATAGTTCGACGCGACTTAGTTCCTGGGGTTCAAGCTCGTCGAGCTGGTTGTTGGAATCCTCGATAGCAGCGGGCATGGTGGCAGCACGGACGGGTAGCGGCATTTGAGACGTGGCCGGCATTGGTGCCTCGACCTCCTTCTGGACCTGCATCTTCTTGATGATCTTGTATCCACCGAGCGCGACAATGGTGACACCAACAGCGACACCACCAGCGATCATAAACTGGGGGCTGAGGAGCAGAGCAGCAACTGCGGGGAAGCTGCCCTTGAGCGTCATGAGCACGCCTGGTCCCATCTTGCCGACGATGGCACTGATCTCGGCGAGTGTGAGTGATACAGCGGCGAGCGCCTCGGGGTTCTTCTGTAGGTTCTCGATCATGGCGGTGGCAGTATGTTGCAGGCAGTTGGCCTCGTCCAACAGCATCTCAATCTTGGAAGCCTTCTCTTTTAGCTCGACGTCGTTGTACTTCTTCTCGGGCAGAGGCGGGGGCACGTCGCCGTAGCAAAGGTCCATGTCGACTGACTTGGATCGGCTCTTGCTTTCGGATGAGCGCTGGACGGCCATGTCGGAATTCCTGCGGGCTATCTCCTTATTGTGTGCGTCGTGTCCGCCAAGGTCATCTTCGAAACGATGTTTGCTGCTGCGCGGGCTGTCGTTGGCGTAGAAGCTATCGCTGTAGCCGCGCTCCATGGTGGGTCGGTCATGGTGCGCCTTGGAGCGGTGGGTGTGAGCTTTGGAAGCCTTGGAACGGTGCGAGACCTGAGAGCGGGCGTCGTCGTCGACGCGGATAGCCTTGACGCTCTTGGCGAGCTCCCTCTCCTTCACGACAGCATCGCGCTCGGCTTTGATCTCCGCCTTGCGCTCGCGGTAGGCGGCCTTGGCCTCCTTGAAGACGTTGACGATGTGCTTGCTCTGGGGGCGGGTAGTCAGTAACGAGTACGAGGCTTATCGCGGGGGGCTAGTTGGCTTATCGGCGACTCACACTGCTCACTACCTTTCCACTCTTGTTAATCACAGTAATAGTCTCTCCGAGTCCGACGGCCATTCTGACGTATGCTGGTTGTGTTCCTGCAGCAGCTGCACAGCGCGCGGCAAGAGGGGGTTTTGTGTGGCCTGGGTAGGCGTTGCGGTGAGAATGGTACTTGTGTCTTGGGCCTAAAAGGCGGCGGTGTGCATGTATCAGTGCTCGCGGAAACGGCAGCTGGCGCAACTCCACAAGGTCCCACCTGGATCATCAAAGTCGTCGCAGGTCTGGCTGAGACTATAAGGGATTTCAGAGTCAGTCCTGACGGCGGTATTGTCGGAACACTACGCGCGGAGTGAGGCGATTTCTACCGACTGAGACACGCAGCCGTCATGGTGGTGGGACGCGGGGAGCGATCAGAGTGGCCGAAACGACCTGCAGCAAAGCCATTCACGAGACTGCCCGCATACTTCGCATCGCTTCTCTGTGACGTCCTGCCCTGGTTCGTGGGCTGCGTCGTGAAGACTCAACCAGTACAGTCCTGGCATAGTCGAAGCGCGTGTCGCCTTGTAACTGGAGGCGCTTCCATGGCGCCGGCTATGCGGGCAGCGAGACGCTGCCTCTTAGAGCACCCGGCTTTGCCTGCCATTGGTGCGGATCCAATTCATGCTTTATTACTGCAGCCATCGTGAACGTGTCGCTGCTACGAGTGGACAACTAATTTTCTGCAGCCTCAGTTCCCACGCGTGCTGATGCAACGATGCATGCCATCTGGCAGCCATAACCCGACTGTTGCTGCCCAAACCTTATCCGCGAGTGCCTAGAATCGAGATTGACAGTCATTGTCCAGTTGGCATGATCGCCTCTAGGTTCAGGCTTCAGCTGGGAATGTTGCCCTTACCGCGCGAGCCGTGGCTGTGCGTACTGTGGCGCGTGTCTGTGGCGGTGCGCTTCAGCGTGGGGGAGGTCGAGGCTCCAAAAGCCCGCCAACATTGAGCTGAAGTCGTCCACGATTCCATCTTGGTTGGACGAAGTATTACGCAAAGCCGCGTCATGTTTCGCTTGTCCGAGGTTTAACGGCCTCGACTGCATCGCCAACAGTGTGGCTGTAATCTGGGTTTCCACCGTCATCCACGCTCCTTTTTCTCTACCCACTTTTCCCACGTTTTCCACGCGGACAGTAAGGCACGCCCTGGTGAGGGATTTCAACGACTCGTTAGTTGCAGTCGATTCAAGCTACTATTGACTTCTGTATTACACATCTTTGCTCGCTGATGTCTCTTCTCCTATCCAATCCCCGGCCGCGCTTCGTAATTTCCACGTTGGCAGTGAGAGGCTTCCAGAACGCACACTGACGATCATCACTCAAAATCTTGCACCTGCATAAGACACCAGCCTCCGACTCCCGCGCCCTAATATGCATGTTCCCGTGAGGCTGTCTTAGGTCTCCCGCCTAGAGCGATTCGACGCAGACAGCGTCATGTGCAATCAGTAGCTTCAACGTCGCAAGTCGCTTCTTAGAGCGCCACCACGTATTCGGGTTCACGAACGGTCAACTTGCAACCTTCATTCAATGCTTGCGGACTTTAGTAGCGACTGCATGATGGACAGCGCGCCGCCAAGCGTAAGATAGGTGCATACATTGACTGCACGCTGGTGCACATATGTTGGCACCCTTATGCGCCTGCTGTGATATACAGCTGCTGCGACAATCGAGAAAAAGGAAGCAGCAATGTTATCCCACCATCTCAGCTTACTGTAAGACGTACTCATCTGAGACATGGCGTCATTGCAGCGAGATCGCTCGCCATGTAGGAGCGGTGAGCTTGTTACCATGTGCGAGCACCAAGGCTCGAGCTCTCCTGAGAGGCCGTCGAGCGACGACGAAACGTCCTTGAACTCTACACTGAACGATGTAGATGTAGCCGATGAACGGCTTCCTCCTTCGAACACAGTAAACCACGAACCGCTATCGCAAAGCACTTGTCGTCCTTGTTCTGTAATTTTTCCCTTTCATCTCATCGCAGGCTGCAGCTCAGCAGGCCGAACGACCATGTGCAACTTGTCTGGATCGCTTACATCACAGGAAGTCAAGAGTGTTGTAGGACTGAGAGGTATGTCTACTTGGGCTGATGCATCTGGCCCCGCAGCCGGCGCCATTTGGCTGACTGGACCCTGACTCCTCCGTCATCGCTCCCACACCAAATCGCGAAACCTTTACACGCGACCATGCATACACACCAAAGACATAACGTCAAGCCAGGCTGACCATGCCAACAGCAGCGCCTCCGAATTATGACAGCATCGTGGAGACGCGGGGTGCAGATAGATCTGCCCCCGATACGAATCCAACGCCTGCGCTCTCACATCGCATGAAGCACGACAAATCGATCCTCGCGTTAGTAGTATCGTCACAGTACATCTTCGCCGGTACTCAGGGAGGGGAGATCCTGGTACGTGTCTAAGCGAGCTCTGAAGGCTCTAGACTCATGACGTGCAGGTGTATAGCCTCGATACCTACGAGCGACGCAGCGTCATACATGCGCACAAGGGCAGCGTACTCGGCTTGTGCTTATCGCATGACCGCAAGTGGCTATTCTCAAGCGCGGCAGATCCAATCGTCAATGTAAGAGTGTCTGGAACGTTGAGTATGGTATATGCTAAGTCAGCAGGTCTGGTGCACGTCAACTTTCAGGCACTTATACGCTCTATGGTCGCCATACGATATCGGAGACATCTTTTGCGTCGCATACTCGTCCCACCATCGCACTGTTTATCTCGGGGCTCAGAACACAAGCATACAAGTAGGAGAGAAGATTGACTACAAGGCGCATAAGCTGACAATGGCAGTGGTACGATTTGAAAGAGAAAGATACCCGGCCGGCTCCAAGCCTCTCATCGCATCCTGCAGAACGAAAGAACAAGTTTTTCGATTCTCTTGGACCTGGCGGCGCGCAGACCCCGAAGCCCAGCGGAGCAGATACAAGGCCGCGAGACGCAGTAGGCGGGCAAGAATTGCAGATTGACAGCCATGATATCTGCCAATTCGCCCACTACGGATATGTTCATTGCATGCTCTTGGGAACCGGCATAATACCAGAAGCGCCATCCGAAGAGATTCTGGTCTCAGGTGGAGGAGATGGGCGCATCTTGTTATGGCGGATAGACCCTGCGCAGCGTGGTGCTATCACAAGCATCTACACACTGGAGGATGGAAGAGAGGAAGGTGAATCTATACTCTCACTCGCCCGAGAAGGTTCCTTCCTTTACAGTGGACGGTTCGACGGTGAGGTCAACGTATGGGACCTTGAGACCCGGCAGCTAGTGAGAAGTCTGAAAGCAACTACTGGCGACGTGCACACTTTGGCATTAGGTGCTGGTGTTCTTTATGCTGGTGGTAAAACGGGTGTCATGCAAGTGAGTAATCTCGGCTGTCTTTCACGAACATGACTAATAGAGATAAGAAATTCAACGAGCACTATGAGAGCATCACATCCTTCAAAGCACACGACGGCTTAATTCTCGCTTCCGCCTTCACCCGATACAACGACAAGCCGACACTCGTTACGGGCGGCAACGATAATACCGTGGTTATCTGGGAAGTTAGAGATTGTGCGGAGCCCAATGCCGTCTCACGCAGAAATAACAATGGTGTGTACACGTTCGAAACTTTGATTAGCCCAACTAATGCGTGGTGCAGATCTCATGGTGGAGTCCCTGAGCCAGTTCGTTTCTTTTCGGACCGTATCATCGCTGCCCAAATATCGCGCTGACTGCCGCAGAGGGGCGTCTTACTTGCGCTCCGTTTTTCAAAACTTTGGCGCCGTGACTGAAATGATCAACACGAGCGAGTACAACCCAATTGTATTTGCTAAGTTTCGCGGTAATCCGGCTACAGCGGCCTCACGTAAGAAGATTCTGTTCTATGGGCACTACGATGTCATCCCCGCAGAAAACGAGCACCGCAAGTGGAAACACGATCCCTTCGCGCTGACTGGAGAAGGAGGCTACTTGTATGGTCGGGGCGCTTCTGACAACAAAGGACCGATCATGGCCGCCATCTACGCGGCCCATGAGCTCGCCAATGAGCAGAGCTTGGACTCCGACATCATCTTTCTGATCGAAGGTGAAGAGGAGAGTGGCTCTCGCGGGTTTGAGAAGGCTGTGCAAGCTAGGAAAGATCTGATTGGTGATGTTGATTGGATCCTCTTGGCTAACAGTTACTGGCTTGACGATCACGTACCGTGCCTGACCTATGGGCTTCGGGGAGTGATACACGCGACCGTGCAGATTGAAAGTAAGCATCCTGACTTACACAGTGGTGTAGATGGAAGCGCTTTGCTGGATGAGCCCCTCAAAGATCTTGTCATGCTGCTTTCACGATTGACTGCGCGTCATGGCAAGGTTCAGATACCAGGCTTCTACGATCCCATCCTACCATTAACGGACGATGAGAAGAAGCTCTATACTGAGATCACCAAAACGCTGTTACGCAGTAATCCAGATCTTGGCGATGCAGAAGAGCTAGCACAGTCACTCATGCGCAGATGGCGAGAAGCTTCGCTCACCATCCATCGCTTCCAAACTTCTGGTCCCGACAACTCGACTATTATTCCTCGCCTTGCCAAGGCTGCACTTTCCATACGATTGGTGCCGAACCAGGAAGCGGGCGACGTAGCAGAAAGTCTAAAGTCCTTCTTACAATCCGAGTTTGAAGAGCTTGACTCGAAGAACCAACTCGCGGTAACAATAGACCACCAAGCTGAACCTTGGCTTGGTGATTTCAACAACGAGATCTTCCAGACGCTTGAGCGCGCCATCATGTCAGTATGGGGTCCAACACTTGGACAGAGACGAGAAAGTGTATCTGCAATCAAGGCACCAGACTATTTCTCGCCATCATCACGAGCGACAGCCGAGCCGCCGACACCTACTACTAAAGACAAGCCCGCGCCTGCGACATCGAACACCCTTGCCAACTCATCCGACCCAGCGCTCTCAGGACCTGTTCCGTCATCCGGCACTTCGACGCCTGACCACACACAAAGCGAAGCAGTATCCCGTAAGCCTCTTTACATTCGGGAGGGTGGTTCTATCCCTAGTATCAGGTTTCTGGAGAAGGAGTTCAACGCACCAGCTGCGCATCTACCCTGCGGCCAGGCAAGTGATAGTGCGCATTTGGACAACGAGCGATTGAAGCTAGTGAACTTGTATAATAGCAAGAAGATTTTCAAGGAGGTGTTTCGAGAGCTGCCGAAAAAATGATAGCCTTGATCTAACTGCATAGTTGACGAGTAGTGGCTTGTTTTGACGCTTGATTGCGGGCGTCTGGTTTGATGTAGGATATAAATATATGTACCTTCGAATGAGTTCACTATCATCGCGTCTCCTGGACGTTAATCTGCGCATGCGACATGTGAATCACATATGCATATCCTCCTCTGTGATAACCTCGTTATCAACCCGTACTTTCCATTGAACCAATCACGGCATGTCAGACCCTTGCCCCACATCCTCGGCTTACCCCGATCGCATACCCCGCTGCAGCTATCCACTAGCCGAACCATTTGGAACCTGCATCTACGTACACCACTACCTGCGGAATATGCGAAAGAAGCTCTGAGCTCTACAACTTATAGCGAACCAGAACCTTGTCCATGCAAAAGAAGTCTAAACCTGGGATAAGGCAAGCAGGCTTACGCACGCCGATACCGGCCGCGGACTGATAGCCGGTGGTATTGTGTTACGGTCGAGCATTTTACAAGTTGTGAATCATACGTACGCTGAGATTTAGATCTGGTTTCACAACGTTTGACTAGAAGTCTGTTGGTGGTCGATTTTTCTGTTTTGAGCTGCCACCATCGCTGGTACCAATAATAGCACCTGCTTTCCCGATACCCATCAAACCTCAATCTAATTAAACCTACATCCGTCTTCCGGGAATCCAAGCTTTTGAGAGCAAAAAGCATTTCAAAAATGGGCGTCTTCTACGAAACCATTCCTAATAGCTTCATCCCATGGATCAAGGAACAGCAAATGCTCTGGGTGGGCACAGCACCCTTGTCAGGCGAAGGCCACATCAACATCTCACCAAAGGGAGGTCAGAACTTTGGTATCCTGGATGAACGGACGTTCTGGTACATGGACCTTACGGGAAGTGGCGTGGAGACACACGCGCATCTTCACGAACCAGGAAATGGGAGGATTTGCGTCATGGTACGTCTTCTACTGAGACCACTCGGCTCAGTGCCAAGAAGAAAACCACACACCGTATTAACAACTCTCCTAGTTCATGGCCTTTCAAGGCCCACCAAAGATAGTGCGTATATGGGGCGATGGACGCGCTCTCGAAAACGGAACACCAGAGTACTCTGCCTTTGTCTCGGACCACAAAGTCGAAACCATCCCGGGTTCACGCAGCATCATCATAATCAACGTCCATCAATGTGGTACATCGTGTGGCTTCAGCGTCCCCTACTACGACTTTGTCGGCCACCGCGACATCCTAAACGAGCATTTCAGGAAAAAGGACGCGAAATACAGGGAGGGCGAGGAAAAGGAATCCATGGATTACTACTGGGCGTGGAAGAGTCAGCTTAGTATTGATGGGCTGCCGGGTATGAAGCGGGGATATGAGTTTGCGCAGAAACATGGGGTTAAGCCGTTGAAGAAGATGGTGGGGTCATATGCGCCGGGGAAGGGAGGAGTGAGGAGGAAGGAGGGGGTGGATCCGATGTATCTGTTTGTGGTCTTGTTGTTGGGGATGGTCATTGGTGGGGCGATGGCGTTGAGTGTTGTTACGCCGGAGAGGTTGAGGATGTTGCAGGAGAAGGGGATGGTTGTATGAGGAAACTCGATTTCACGGGATGTGAGTGATTTTTACCGTTGTAATGATCGAAGCTTAGTATTATTCTTTTGATTAGGCGTCTGGTTAGGTCTCCTGAGTAGGCAAGTATGGTCTGTTTAGTGGTAGCGAGATTGGCTTGAGCGATTGGCATCATTCGCATGTGTTTGAGCTGATCATGTCTATCGATGTACTTGGCGTTACGTGTGAATTACCAGCTGTCATTCAGGCGTGCCATGTGCTGTAGCACGGCGCATGTTATACGAAAGACCAGTGTTGATGGCGGAGATTGTCGAATTTGAGAACAGATGGGGAGACGAGCCGCGGGGTCAGACGGGGCGGGATTCAGCCGTAGCTACCATAGCGTTGGGAAGGTGCGAACTTCTGTTACCTCATTACGGCCTTGGCTATATTCTGTCCACGGCTACTTTGCCACGCGCATGTGTGCTATCCGAGCAGACGGTTAACACGGCCGTGGTCAGTAGATGGTCTTTCCGCTACTATTGGGCGGCCTGTGTTGTAGTCGGTATACGGTGCTGACCATTTCTCGGCTAGGACCGTCTCTGCACAAGCTTGGTAAGCCCGGCCAATAGTAGGAAACAGAAATGTAAAGATGATCCAAGATCACACTTGTAGCATGAGATAGTGCGCGCTCGTGGAGGTTGACGAGGATAGCTCGGCACGATGAAGACAATAGCAGACAAGCTTTGGACCAACACCATAGGACGCATCTGTGGTTCAGCCGTGCATGAGGACAGACTAGGCGTTTCAACAAACCCCCAGCCGTAACGGTGTAGAGTACCTGCTCACGTGCGGAATCGCCCCTGCCGAGGCAGTGGATGTCTTCATCAAGCTTAATTTAAGCGAAATGCTGATCCTGGATTCCTCCAATCCTCGTCTTCTGGCCTATCAACCTCATCGCCGTCGTGACGTTCACATTGCGAAAAAGGACTGTGCATCTGACCATGTTCGTAGAGGACAAGCGCGACACCGCCAGACCGTGCCGCATGGCTGTCACACACCACTGAGGCCGTATCTCGAAGGATGGGTGGGTTGAGTAAGCCCCGTCATGCCACCGAGGCTGGGCAACGAAGCCTCAACCGCTGCCACGGCGTCTTCATGCCCGTTGGCCGAGGCTTGTCTTGTCGCTTGGATTTCTTGATGCCGGTAGCCGGTGTCGTGATGTCGCAGCATCCTCGCGTGTCCCCTGAGCACGCGATTACTATCCACAAAAATACGACCAAGGTCCGTTGCCTAGCTCTCGGGCGACCCAGAGAACATTCGGAGACCCGCCTGGAAGATGGCCCTTGAAAGGATGGCCCTCGCAAAAACGAATCGTAGCGTCCGGAGGAAATCTTGGCTCCATGGCGCGATTGGCTAAGGCCCCGTCCGTATCCCAAGCTTCCAGTCATTGTCTTGTCTGTCTGCAGGCGGCCCCACCACAGCATGGTTGTTGGTGTGAACGTCTGGCTTGCAACCTTCCTCGAGGTCTCTCTCGATTCTCTCGAATCAATCGCCATAATCGTCTTCTAGAACGGCCGTGTCAACGCTATTACCCGCATATAACCGCATTTGCGATCCAAAAGAGCAAGGTCGCTGATACCGCGATTGAGGATCAATGGCTGGGTTGCTAGCAAGGCAAATTGTCGTTGGAGGCGTTACATTAGCGCGTCTGGGCAATTCTTGGGGGTCGTCGCGGGGTAGCGATAGTCGTCCGCTTTAGGCAGGAGGTTAGTCGATGAAGTGCGGCCTGGGCGCCACAGCAAATTGTTATCTTGGTACAGGCAAGCTCTGCTTGTGTCACTGCTTGCCAGTGGTGGTTAGCAACTTGGTGAGGCTTGAGTAGTCCAGGACATCTCGGCGATGCGGTGCGAAAAGAGCATCGTGCAGTACCTATCGCGCACGCCCCGAATGCCTTTCTGGGGACAACAGCCGTGGTGGCAACGCGTTTGCTGATGGGACGACTATCGTGAAGGAGTCGATACGATGCCTATCCCTGTGCCTGTGTGCGCGCCTTCCTTATCGGGCCTGAAGCTGTAGAGCACGACGCTGGACCCGTGATTCGCGTGCTCAAATTAAATGCACCACCACCCACTCTCTTTTGCTCGCCAGGGTCTCTCTTCTCCTCACCGCACCTCATATATCATACGTCGGCTGCTCTGTCCGTCGGTCAACCACGGTCCACCTCTATCGCCAATCTATACAGGTGTACGCACATCATGCCTATCGGTGACGCCGGTGAAGTTGTAAGTGATACTGCCTTCGCCCTGTAGTCCATACATGCTAACACACACCGTAGCAAGCCGTTGGCTTGGACCCTGCTCTCATTGACGCCTCTGGCGACCCCACGCGCAAGCACCCCGAGCTTCACACGACTGCTGCGCCAGCCTACCTCCACTCCGAGGGCAAGGCCACGCTTCAAGACAGCTACATCGACGAAGCTGATGACTTCCCTACCGACGAGGAGCTTGCCACGCTTCGTCGTGTGCCCGCCAGGATCCCATGGAAGATTTTCACTGTATGCAATTGCCATGTAGAGCGCACGTGAGGCAGATATTAACTTCATCTTCAGATCGCTTTTGTCGAGCTCGTTGAGCGTATGAGTTACTACGGAACCATTGCTGTATACTCCAATTTCATCGCCAAGCCCCTCACTACTCCTACTGGAGCCGCCCTCGACCCTGATTCGGATAAAGCTCAACCTGGTGCTCTCAATCTCGGCAAGCAAGTCGCCTTCAGTCTGACCACCTTCAACGCCTTCTGGGTCTACGTCTGCCCTCTTTTTGGAGCATGGATCGCTGACACCTACCTTGGTCGATTCAAGACCATCCTGTACTCTGTCTTGGTTGCTGAAGTTGGTCACTTGATCCTTGTTGCCTCAGCTGCGCCTAAAGTTCTGGAAAACTCGAAAACGTCACTCGGTGTTTTCATTCTCGGACTCATCATCATGGGTCTTGGAACTGGAACTTTCAAGCCCAACATCGCCCCCCTTATCGCCGAGCAGGTTCCTCAGGAGAAGATGCGTGTTGAGACTCGCGGCACTGAGCGTGTTATTGTTGACCCTGCCGTCACTGTCACCCGCATCTACAACTGGTTCTACTTCTTCATCAACATCGGTGCCTTGGTTGGTCAAATCAGCATGGTCTACGCTGAGCGATACGTCGGTTTCTGGCTCGCCTACCTGATCCCTACCATCATGTTCATCGTCGCTCTTCCCGTACTCATCTTCTGCAAGAAATTCTACATCCTCCGTCCCCCGAGTGGTAACGTCATGGGCCCTGCTTTCAAGCTCCTCTTCAAAGCTCTTGGACGCGGTTTCAGCATCAACCCGGTCAGGACATACAAGAACTGGAACGATGGTAGCATGTGGAATGCTGTCAAGCCCTCCGTTCTCGGCGCGGCCGCACCAAAGTGGTATAACTTCGATGACGCCTGGGTTGACGAGGTTGCTCGTGGTTTCGCTGCCTGCTCCGTCTTCTTCTGGGTCCCCATCTTTTGGCTTGCATACCGTCAGATGGACTCCAACCTGACCCAGATGTGCGCCACCATGAAGCTTGGTGGTGTTCCCAATGACATTCTCTCCAACCTCGACCCCATCGCCATTATCATTATTGTGAGTATTAACGAAAAAAGACAGCGTTAGGAAACCGTTGCTAATCGCGTTACAGGTGCCCATCATGGACTCCCTCGTTTACCCCTTCCTTCGCAAGCGCGGTATCCGCTTCACACCCATCAAGAAGATCACCGCTGGTTTCATTCTCGGAGCCTTCGCCATGGTCTGGGCTGCGGTTCTCCAGCATTACATCTACAAGACTTCCGGATACTACGAGACCCACGACCCTGACTACTCCACTGATATCACCGTCTGGGCCGTCACCGGTGTCTACGTCCTCATTGCCATCTCCGAGATCTTCGCTTCCGTCACTACCCTGGAGTACGCTTTCACCAAGGCGCCCAAGAACATGAGGTCGCTCGTCCAGTCCGTCCAGCTCTTCACTACTGCCTTCTCTGCCGCCATCGCCCAGGCTTTCACCCCTCTTACCGCCGACCCCCACATCGTCTGGAACTACGGAAGTGTGGCCATCATCTCTTTCGTCACCGGTATTGCCTTCTTCTTCGCCTACCGCACCATGGACAAGCAAGAAGACCAGCTCAACTTGCTGCCTACTGGTCACCTTGGTACGGAGGCTCAGGCTACCGATATCGAGAGGCGCCAGAGCGTCAACGAGGAGAGGCGCGCTAGCCTTACTGCTCAAGAGAAGATCTAAGCGGCTTACGTCTAGACGTGTGATGTATGATGTTGTGGTTCGATTAACGAATCACTGTTGAACGATATACCCCTCCCAAACTTATTGGTTACTGCGCTTAGGAGGCTAGATACATGGTCATGGGTGTCGGTCGCTGGATGCGTCGGCTACTGCATCATGGCTAGCTTACTTACTTTAATGCCAAACATTCACTTTATATCTATGATCCCACAGCTTCTTCGTGATGTTGAATAAACAAAATAGGATTAAACGTACACTGCATACTTGCCTCGGCGCTGGCAAAACAGTTCGGTGCTGTCACAATCGGCCTTGGCGCTCAGGACACGCGTCCTAGCGCGTCGCACCAACGCCAGCCCCTCAGTTCATCTTAAGCTATTCTTGCACACGTTATGACACCAAACATTACTTTGTGGTTCTCGCTCGGGCACTCCATATCATAGACAGCAGCCTTTGCAACAATATCTCCAACCGGAATGTCGACTAATAAATCCCCGACCGCTCGTGATGAAGCCGCCGCACATCTCGAAGTGTACGGACTCTCGTAGCCTAATCAATCTGTTTCGAAGCTGATCATGCTTAGCTTCCGTCTAGACGACCTCCCACAGGAGCTTCGCAACCTGATCTATGAATATGCCCTAGAGCCGAAGGTCATATTGCGGCATAGTTACTTGTGTGATAGATTCCCTGGGTACCATTTACCCAATGTTGATCCTCATCCGGGTATGAAAATATGTTAATGCAAATCTCCTGGCGCCGACTAGTTCACAGAAGATATCGACAACGACGATGATGGCAATGACGACGAATATTATACGTTCGAAGATTTTGTGCTGTATGGAAATGAAGGGTCCTGGAAAGATTACAATCTACAGTATCCAAGTGTGGCCGACCTCGCTGCAGTCTTGACATTCAAGGTCTTGATCTCAACTCCCCTACTCGCCGTGTCTAAGGCTACGGATGCGGAGGTACAGAAAGTACTAGACACTACCAAGGATTCCTGGATACAATACTATCAGGAACTGATATCAGCGTCCACACATCTACATCGGATTAGATCACCAAGTGTAGCTATCATTGACCTGTGGTCTTGCAGCGAACTTATTCTAGATAGTTATGCCTCCAGTTCCATGTTCTTCTTGCACAACCTTCCAGACTCGCTGAAATCATGCACTCGCCGGCTGGTTATTTGTAGTAGCCTCTTGGGCGCCGATGACGGTGATGCTCGTATAGCATGGGCCAAAGGAAAAACAGGTAGAGGTGGGGCCTTCTTTACCAACTGGATTTCCGACAATCTACCTAACCTACGTACGGTGGCGATCAAGATACCAGACAGTTCCGGGGGCATGGAATGGAACTGGAACCCGGCCTCGGACCTTTTGTGCGAGATGCTCCAGCATGGGCGTCTGGATACTGTGCGGTTCTTTTACAAAGAGGATCGCGAACACACGGAGACAGACGGTTCCTCTTTCAGGCACGTAACGCTGAGCGAGTATACTTACGAGGGGCTAGAAGGATTAGATGATTCATTTTTGAGCGGCGTTGAGGAATCCATATCATCTACTTCAATCGTATCCGAACTATGGCGAGACCTAGGAGTACGCCGTGTTGTCAAGATCACGGGGTCGCAGGCACGCATCGGGAAGGAAAGAGCATATTCCAAACCTCAAGGATCCTCGACAGACCGAGACCAAGTCGAACGACAACTGCAACTTTCACGCGCGCGACCTGGCAGCGCATAACACAGCCACGAAGATCACTCGTAACGTTTCGTTGTAGCGAGAAAAGCTGGACAATGAGCCGCAGTACTAGGCTGCTGCCTCAGTAGATGCTCAACATCCCATGAATGTATCTGGGGAAACGTACAAAGAAAATTCGTCACGAATTTGTGGTACTGCTTATATACTTTGGTATGATTGGTGGTGTACGCTGCGAACCGTAGTTGAGGCGTGCAACCATGGTACAGAATATCTATTGTTTTCAGGCACCAATACCTCGATCTTCTTTCCGAACATATATATTGCTTTCAAATTCCCCTAATATTCGAACCGATAACCAGACACTCTGTTCTACTTCCACTACAGTAGCGGGCAGCATTTAGACATCATGGCTCTCACATTGATCCAACACTCGCCCCAACTCGAAGCGGATCAGCTTTGCTACGGTATCAACAGTTCACAACACGCCTCTACATCCACAATGTCGGTTTCAGCCTGTTTTAGAGATTTTCCATCTCTTCCCCCATTCTATTGCACCGAACCCTGCTCATCACTTTCAACATCCACTTGGCTGCCGCAACTCCAAAGTACAGATAAGACATCGTACTTGATGCAGAAAATGGACGCACCGGTCATGTCTCATCCAATGTTACCGACGAAGCTGAGGTCATACATCGAAACCCAACTGTACCAAGATCTCACCCAGTCAGCTCTCCTTCAACACTGGATGAAGCGTATCGGAAGCGACATTCCGCTTGGCAGTGCTGCTGCGGTCGCAGCGCTTCAAGATGCTGTCATTGTAGCTCTCGACGCAGAGTGGTTTGAACATGATGATCAATTCATCACGGAACTCGGCGTCTCAATCATCGACCCGCGTTTCATCTCACAGCCAATCCCCTCATCACCATGGAACATTCTCTCAAGTATTGAGATCCACCACGTCCGGATTAAAGCACATGCCCATTTTACCAACAAAGACCTCTGCAAAGGATATCCCGAGGCCTTCCAGTTCGGCAATACAACCTTCATCAGCGTGGATGAAGCAACAACCATGCTCCGCCGCGTCTTCACTCCCCAAGACGAATACGGCAATCCACGTCCAGTCATCTTCATGGGCCATGCTGTCGATAACGACTACGAGATCATCAAATCTTGCTTTGGCCTTGATCTCGAGCAACTCGGCACCATCGTCGCTACAATCGACACGCAAGTCCTCGCCGTTGAACATGAGCTTGTCAAACCATCCCGCAAAATGCGCCTCTCAAACTTGCTTGCCAAATATAACATCGAAGAGCAGTATCTTCACAACGCAGGCAACGACATCGTATGCACGATGATCGCTGCTTTCCTCATGCTTTGTCCCACACCCGAGAACAAGCTTCTCACCAACAGACTCCGCTACGCAGATCTCAAAGCTCAACTCAGAGCAGCCGGGCAAATCGCCATCAACGAAAAACGAAGTTACGGTGTGAAACGCTTCTGCGAGAAATGCGATTCGAATAATCACACAGCTCCGTTTTGTCCTGTGAGGGTCTGGCGCTGTGAGCATTGCATGAAGAATCCACTTACGAGGGATGCGGCATTTACGCACAGTTCTGAGAAATGCGTAAATACGGTCAAGCAAGCAGCGCTTTTGAAGGCGCGGAGTAGTATGGGTTATGGATCTGGTGGCACGAAGCGCTCGAGCAGTCCGCCTAATGCATATGCGGTGCCCTGCGAACACTGCATTGAAAGTAGGGATCCGAAGCGGTATAAGAACGAGAATGCGTATTCACACAGAACTGGGGAGTGTTCTTGGCCAAAGTAGAAAATGAACTAAACTCAAGATTCAATTCGTCTTCTTCGTGACCGCGTCTCTTCGTTCTTCGTGTGTATGGGATATTGGGAGAGATATTAGAAACCCTTCCATTACTGAAATGATTGGTCTGATATTATATTTGCGTGTGTGTCGTGTACGTTAGCTCATAAGATAGGTATCCACCCTATCCACTGGTACATCCATGACGCAGAGGCAACGAACCACTCACAACGTTCGCAACCCACAAGATACCTAGGTAAGAAGACCTGATCGAATGAGCGATATTTCGAACAGCCTTAAGACATTATTCGCGACGTATTTTGTTGGGTGGGAAGATACAGCGCGCACGTCGTCGCTTCCTGAACGCGTTTACCTTTGCTCTCTTCGATGGATACGTACTTTCCCATCTTCTATATATCGCATCTCATCTCGGTCAAGACTTTGAATACTTACTCTCTCGCGTTAGTAACAGAGCGGAACCCAATCCTCCTTCCTGAATCTGGCCGCACTACTGCTGCGTCCATGTAAACCCCAAATAACCCTACACGCCCGTCTGCCCATACAGGCCTTTGTCGAAATTCGCAAATGCAATGGAACATCAGCATGTCTATCACACCATAAATTCTCGACATTGTAAGCATAGCGAGTGGCTCTGAAGTTTATTTATTGACTTCGTAATCATGTTCTCGGGTGGCTCGATGAGCGTCAAAGTTTCAGCGTGTTCTGTTGCTGCCGCGCGTTACATCAACGGGCACAATACCTCAGTGCCATCCAAGACTATGCCTTCACCTCAGTAAAATTCCAGACTATTCCCTCAGAATCCCACTTCGCAATCTTCACCCTCTGTTCCACACCGTTCTCTGTCTCCTCTGTATGTACAGCTAGGGGAAGTAGCTCTTCTTTAACTAGCACCAATAGAACATATCCACCTTCTGGCCGTTTCCGTGGACATATATATTCCCAATCATTGTGCTTATCTACAGCACAACGAAGCCACCCCCGATTATCGTAACCTAGATATCTAGCACCAGGTGGGTCCTGAAACCCTAGCCATCCTTTCTTTTCGACGCACCGCCATCTGTATGTGCCAAGGCCTCCCGGTTTGTCTAGTATTATCTTCCCATTCATCAATGTGATGACTTGTCCGTTCTCATGAGATCGAATAATGAAAACACGACCGGGCCATGGAACGGAAGATTGTGAATTTTCGCTTTCCTGCAAGTCCTTCATAGTGTTGTCTGAGGTTGTCGATGGCGTGCAGATAGTAGAAGTTTCGGACTCAGTAACTGGAAGGATGATGGGATGATTTTGTGCCATGTTGCACTCGATTCGGCGTTTCTTCGCTTGCTTTGTAGAGAATCCGATGAGGGGACTGTACTAAATACTTCCACTAGCGAGGATAATACGGGACCGTGGTGAGCGTCTTGAGATGGTGGGAACAGTTTAATGGTCTCTTCAAAGAACTACACAGCAATATTCATGATGCTTTGATAGTTGGGGAGGTTGGAGTGAACATGATGCGCAACGCTGCGGGCGCGTGGTTGATTTTCGTGGGGTTGGCAGGGTTCCTTTGGCAAAGGCGGCAGGTTTCACGCTTGGACCCGCCACAGCGACGCGATGCCAAGCTAACCTGTTCATTCCCCACTATGTGTTGGCTATGCATGACTAGCCACATATATCAAGAACATCAGGATCCAAGACGATGAAGAAAAAATTAGAAAGCCTTTACCTCGGCTCCGTACTCCGAATCAGATGACATGACAAGAATGGGGAATCCAGGAGCAAAAGGTACAGAAGATGAGATGGACATGTCGCATCTGGCCACGTAAAGAGCCGGGGATCTTGGGAGTAGACAAGATTGCCGTTTTCAGACTGCAAATTAAACTTCAGGAACGTCGTCTTTGTTTACAGACCTGATTGATCCGGGACTACCGCGATACAATCACCAACGCAGGTAACGAATCTGCCATCGCGCTCGCCCAAGAAATTTTCTCAAACGCGAGATTTGCCGTTACTTCACTACGAGTCTCGAATATCAATGGCCTCTCCAGGGTAACATTGGTGAAGTTGGGTTTGATCGAGAAAGGTAGGGAATGGGCGTGAACCTCAGCGTGTTTCGAAAGAAGGATTTATTGATGAGAACTCGCCCTAGATGAACCCACTTGCTCAACCAACGCCTTTACCACGCCCCAATACTAGAATATCTAAAACTGTAGAACGTACCATATGCGAAGATCCAATACGATAAACGTTTACAACGAGGAAGCCCTTTGATGAAGCTCAAGAGCGTCAACCTGGAGTGTATGCATTATCTGGCTAGTTTCATCCAATACCTCCTTTCCAGCTCCAAAGACACACTAAAAAGCCTAGGTCTCGATAATATGTTGCTAGGTTTTGACACCGGTTTGAGATACAACAGTCTCCTCCACAATATTGGAAGCAGTTTCCCAGAGCTGGGGTATTTCGATGTTGACCCTTAGAGATATGGGTATTGGGGCCTTGTATCTCTTGTTTCCACGCACGCGAATGCCAGAGGAAACGTGGGAAAGAGAACTTAGAGCCTACGGTTTGGCAGATGAGAGTATCAAGTCCCAAGGACTTAGTGCTGATCATGCTCTTCGGACTCGAATGCGGAACCGGCTTTGAAAGTCGCAGGCTGCTTTTTGAGTCGATGATTCAGTGCTCGTCCCAGTAGATTGTCGAAACGACGGAGGAACATGTGTACCCAAAAGGACGCGAGGATCCTCGACTAGAAAGTAATGATAATTCTCCATGTGCTCTCTGTAGACATCGGGGTCCTTCTGGTAGTAAAGCTAGATGCGGTGGTGGTCAGTCCGTGCGTTTGGGTAGGTTGTCTGATCTTACGCATCAATTCGGGCTATTGGGTCGAAGTTGCCGAAGTTCGGACGTTCATTCATCATGGCGTGGAGGACGAGAGGATGTTTGTCAGTGTAATCCCAGGTTTGGAAAGAGAATCGAGGGTAGCATGAGTCAGTGACATGGACAAAGCTTCTCGTCCATCTGGAGCTCAAACGGTATGTACGGTGCGGTGTTTGTTTTGTTATGCGAAGAGTGGATATCGTTCGTTACATAACGACGCTAGATACCCTTTCCTACTTGCTCCCCATGATCTCCTCCATCCACGGATACACGGTACTATTCGCCTCAGGATACCCCATGTGCAACCTCTGCTGCATGAACCGCATCTCCTTCGGACTCCCGTATTCCGCCAACAACATACTATCCTCAATTGGCATACACCCATCCAACATACCATTCACAAGCAACAGCCTACAGCTCTTCATACCTTGCGCCACCACAGCCACACCCTCGCCTTTACCTGAGACGAGAGAGAATTCATCCTGACACTTCTCTTTCATCTCTTCGAATGACGAGTAGCCATATTTTTGCGTGTAAGCTTGTTCGAGGCCGAAAGGATATTCATGCTTGTCGATTTGCTCGAGCCATTCGCGGCCGATGTAGTGGTGTGTGCCTGCGCCGTGGCCTACGCTGCCGATGAGTTGGGTGCGGTGAGTGTGGGCGAGGCGGATGGCGTAGTAGCCGCCTGCTGAGAGTCCCCATGCGATGACCTTCTTCTCGTTGAGGTATGGTGTTTCTTTGATCCAATCTAAGATACTGGTGAAGAATCGGTCAGGTGATAACGGGTCGCGCTTGTTGGCTGGACAGTCGACAGTGGTACCTGGGATGTCGCAGATCACTGTCGCCCAACCGCGATTGAGATGTTCCTGTGTGCGCTCGGTGTTGTCTGGACGATGGCCGTCAAGGCCTGTGATTAACAGGACTGTTGGGAATGGGCCGTGTCCTGTGGGTTTGCGAATGTACAATGGAATCTTGTCGCCATCACCGTTCGAGGCATGCTTATGCGTTACCACGGCCTCCTCGAGTGGAATGTCCCACAGCTGTGCGCCGCGGAAGTAGACTTCCTTCTGCTCCTCAAAAACCTTCTTCTTCAGCTCGGTGCCGATGTATGGAAATCTCGCCAATCTGTATACAGCGTTTGCGTTCAGGTATAGCCTTTTCGCCGCCTCCTTGTCTTTGCTTTCCATATCCTTGGCTTCTTTCGCTAGACGTTGCGCCGTTGGCAAGAAAGCGTTGGTGTATGCATCGTCATAAGGGTCATTGACGTTGTTGTTGATGAGATGTTTGAAAATGGGTTCAAAGTCTTCAAACTTTCCATCGTGGAAAGGGTAGACGCCTTTGGTGCATGGGAACTTCCAACGTTGTTCCCAAAGTTTCTGAATGCTGCTGCGGTGCCCGTAATCCTTTGTGAAGAGGTCGCCGAGGATCCAATTTCCGTTAGGCATGATGTGAATAATCTGATCGCAGGAATACGCAAGAAGGTTCTCTAGGTAAGCTGCCAACTGTATGCATGTTGTCGTCGTGCATTCGTGCGTCGTATATACCACCTATTTCGGGATCGGCGGGGCCGGCTCGCCGTTTCAGACCCGTCCGGACGGGCCCCCGCAGAATGAATTACGGCTCGTTGGGGACCTGAACTACCAACGTACGATGAAGTTGAAACTAACCGGTTAAATGGTACGGGAGAGTAGCGAAACCCTAGGTCAATGTACAAGGATGCGCATTGTTCTCAGGGAAATTCTTCCACCTCGTCCTCCTCTCCTTTGCGTTTGACGTACTCTCTCAAAACGTGCACTAATCTCGACCTACCCTCTCTCCTCTCGAACACTTGTGCATGATCTACAGTGGGCCACCATACCGTTTCTAGACCACGGCCTCTCCACTCGGAGTCCTTCCAGGTTCGATCCTCACCCTTAAGGTCGGCACCATTTAGGTACTTTCCAACCGTCTCAGTGTCGACTATCAAATCCCTGCCACCAAGACTGACAGTCACATCTCGGTCTTTGAGATCCTCCTTCCATAGTATATTTTGTGCCCAGAAGAACTGACGAGCTAGCGTTTGCGCAACCATCATGTCGGTCGAAGCAAAGTAATATAGCTGGTGCTCATTCGCACCTTTTGGCCTGCGCGCTGTGAAGTTGTATGCCACATCAGGAAGATGTAGTAGAAATGTAACAGGGTCGACAAAGACCATCGGTCCGATCTTGGCAGCGGTGTTGGGGTCTCGAAGAAGGTGGGTGGAGATGACAGAGCCGTAAGAGTGACTTGCCAGGACGACTTTGTCGAAAGCATGGCGTTCTAGGATCATGTTAATCTGCCGGCAGATGTTGTCTCTGTCGGGAATCGGCCCAGTGATGCGAAAGCTGACAGGCATGATTTCCACTGCAATGATACCGACCTGACCGTCTTCTGCCGCAAGTGGATCGTGCTTGTTGATCTCGTGCAAGAACTCGACGTATGGATGCAGGCCGATGCCGATGCCGTGTACGAAAAGAACTGGTAGTCGCGTTCTTGAGGTATGTGGTCGGTACCAGTAGCTCATGTCCGGTGCAGAGGAGATGGTGCGCGTGGTGAAATTGGCAAGCCGTGGTGGGAAGGTGGCCAGCGAGGAGCGAAGCGGGGTGCGGAATAGTATAAAACCATAATAGCGCAGACGAGCGGCAGTGAGGGTGTCGACAAGCATCACAATCTATCGTTGTTAGAAGATATAGCGGGAATAGATCATCAGACATACCATGTACCACAGAAAGGGCCGATGCGCCATATTGACTTGGTCGATAGTCAACCGCAAGCTCTTTGCGCTGCCCCAGCCAGGCTCCAGCTTCCTCCCAAGCATCGTCTCGATGCCATCCGCATACTCATTCAGCTCGTCATCCTCAGCGTTGGCGACCTCTGGGTGTGCCTGTCGTCTCTTCCTCCGCTCTTCATCGCTCTCAGTGCCGCGGTTCAGCAGCGCCCACGAATAGAACTCGCGCACATTTTCACGTCGTATCTCGCCCGGTCGTGCGCCCAGAAACCATCTACTGATATAGTATTCTGGGTGTGGTATCTTATCCCAGCATCGCCAGAATAATTCCTTCCTCTCCTCTTTCTCGAGTGGTTGTGGGTGTTGGGCCGAAGCTTGGAGCGCGCGCTTGCGGGGTAGGTAGACAAGCAACCAGAAGGCGGTCTCTACGATGCTCCACGCCAGTAGAAAGCGACGAAAAGCCGAATGTGGGGGTTCTGCGATGCTGAAAGAGACCCAGAAGATGCTAAAAGGCGTGATTGCGCGAAACCCGAGGATGCATGTCCTCATAAGCAGGTACTTTGGAACCGTATTCTCGATCATGGCGGTCGTATGCTATAATCGGAGGTATTAAGTCAACCGCGTTCCCTTGCTGGGCGTCGCAGTTGTGTTATCCTTATCATGGTGGGAGTTGTTGACGGCTACACGGCAGGGTTGCGGCTTACAGCGGCCACCGATGACGCGGTTGCCTGCTACGTTCCAAGGTTGCCTTAGTCAGCCGCGCATCACATCACGTCTCTCGCAAGCAACACCGTATCCGGCATGATATACTCTCAGCTCATATTGCTTGCATCTATGCTAGACCCAGCGTATCTTCGAGGCATTATTAGCCACCTTCGAACTCCAATAATGACATGACACCCTCCAGGCCTACCCAGAACGCCTGCAAATAACGGCCAAAACCATCTGAAGACCCCCTTGCTACGCGCAATCCTCAACCCCAATGGTAGCCACTTTATCCATCTTGTGGAATATGTAGCCCACCACTACCCCTACCAAACGAAGCATTGCCGTAACCACCCTGACCACCGCGTCCACCAAAGCCCCTGGAAGGGTTTCCTCCAGGGCTATGTGGGACGTATCCCCGTCCGCCAGGAGGGCTATTGTATGGCAAGGTATACTGCTGTGGTCCACCAAAGTTCGGAGGAGGACTGGATGAAGGCTGAGTGCCACCACGTGCCATGGACCGAACCCGAGAGTTGGACATGAAACCTCCACGAGCAATGTTCTTGACCTTGGGCCTCTTGAGTACCCGAGCAGCAGCATCCTTTTGGCGTCGTACAACAGCCTTCTTGTTGGCTACGCATAAACAATGAGCGGTGACGTGTTCAGCTCCGAGTTTGATCTCGCACCCGTTCTCTTCACATTCGTCGCAGTGAAGGTCGGTTGCGACACAGTCTGCCTTCATATGTCCGACTGTTCCGCATTTCCAGCAGTACTTCTCGACACCACCAAGGCTCTCATCGAAGGTGATAACGCTATAGCGCTCGAGATCATCGGCAACCTGCTTCATGCTCTTGCGAGTATCCGTCTTCCATTTGTCTCCACCGAGCGCGATCTGGAAGGCCGAGATCAAGGTTCGACCCACATCATTCGCCGCTGTGTGGGAGTCACTATGCTCGAATCCAAGCGCTTCTACGAGGCGCCTAAGGCCAATCTGCTCGTTCCTCGGCATCAGCCAGTAGCCCTTGTCACGGGTAAGGATTTGCGTGTCGATGTAGCGTACTACAGTGCCAATCGGATCCATATCAAAAGCGATTGCTTTTAACTTCAGGTTGTTCTTGTCATGCCCTACATCGTGGCCAAGAACGACGATTGGGTGGTTACCTTTCAGGCCAGGAATACCCTTGATTGGCTGGATGAAAAGGTCTGTTAGGATCTGACGAGCCTCTTCGAAGGTGACGAAACGGCCTTTACCAAAACGGTTTCCATTGACTCCGCGCGAGTCGGGGTTCTGGTTCGGGAGGTGGGAGGTCTCAATCGGGCGCAAGAGATAGAACCGAGCCTGCTCCATCAGGCGTTCTCCGTGGTAACCGAAATCTCCAGTGCACGCTACTTTCAAGACGTCTTGCCGACTGAACATAGCAACACCGACCTCAGTCGTCTCATCGGTGTTGGTGCTCCAGTGTTCGCAATCCAGGCAGATCACGATGATGTGGTTCGAGATTTCCTCGGCGATGGCGGGGATATTGGGAACGAACTTGCCTCCGATGCAGTGATACCATACTTCCAGATCGGTAGCTTCGTTGAAGCGGCCTTCTAAAGCGACGATGGCGGGGTCTCGCAGATCTGGCGTCGTCGTCGTTGTTGTTGTGGATGGAGAAGCGGTAGCGGGAACGGGCGCGTCCTGAGCGTTGTTGGACATAACGATGTCACTCGAGAAATGTGCAGCGTCGGGGTGTGGTAGGTTTTCTGTGGCTGTGGGTGTATTTGGTGGTCTCTCGTGCGGAGGGGCGGTCTCAATTCGGTGATGTCGCTCGGGTTGAGTTCCTGGTCGCGGTGTGTGATCGCGGTTGAGCAAGAGAAGTAAAGACTGCAATGGAGACAAGGGGGGCAATTTGTACGGAGGGGAGAATGCAAACCTGCACGCGCCCACTGATAGGCAAGGAGAGTAAATTCCTGGCTGACGATGAGCATTGATCGTGAGTAATCTCGTGCCTTGACCCGCCCCGCCGTGCAAACAGAGTCGCACTGGCGAGGCGAAGGTGAAAGTGAAAGAGGAGGAAGAAGTCTGACTGTATACTTGTAGTTAGCACACAGAAGAACTACAGCAACGATGGGGTACTTATACAGCGTCGACGGAGTTTACGTGGTGTTGCTGATTATGGGCAGAGGTAAGTCCACACGGCTATGTCCGTTAGAACATGTCAGGGGACTTGGAGTGTGTGGCCTCTGTAAGACCTCCGACGTCGTGATACAAAACCAAAGGTTCCTCATTTCCTATCCTCGCGCTTGCATACCGACTTTTCACTTCTGTTGGTCAGTCTATGCGAATCGCGCCGCTCTGGAATCTGTCCTTGAACCATATGGCAGCATCACGTCACGATGTCGAAACTGGCAAGCATCCATATGAGTTTGTTCATCAGTTTCGAATCATTAGACCATATTTATAACTTCTACCACTAACTGGAGCACCATTGACAGGCTTCAACCCTGCTCAGGCAAAAGCCAGAAGTTCAAAGTACTCCCTATCATACCAACAACATTGCAAGATCATTCCACGAAAACACAACCAAGTTAATCCAGTATCAAAGACTCGGATGTGCCAATTTGATACCCTCTCAATATCTTTTACTTTCCTCCAAGGTTCAGACCAGCAATCACGCTTGCAACATGCTCAACGGTCGCAACCACCTCAGGCCCACGCATCGCATAAGAGATACAGCACTCCGTTCGATGAGTGCCTGCAGTCTGCTTACGCTTTTCGATCTGGGAGGTAGCACAGTGGCTGCATTTGACCTTGGCAAAACACCGCTTGTTGCGATATTTGTCTTTAGTGTGACCGTATTTGCCACAGCGAAGGCAGTAGAGATCGTTACCCCAAGCCCACTCTTGCAGCTGGCTAGCAATTTCAATATCGTCAACGACCTGCTGCAAGCCGCCATCTCTTGGCTTCAGCTCTTCAGGAAGGACCATCTGAACAGCGGCAATCAACGTCATAGCCGCGTCGTTGCTAGCGGTATGGGCATCCCGATATTTGAAACCACAGCTGGCGACGAGATTACCTAGGCCGATCTTGTTGCCGCCGTAAGAATCGTATCCGCACTCCTTAGCCATTTGCTGGGTGTCGATGATCTTGACCACCGTCTCCAAAGCCATGGCGTCGAAGCCCAGCGTGGACTTTAGCATCGCCATATCCCCATGGAGGGCATGACCCAAGACCACGACGGGACAGAAACCTAACTCCGGCTTCTGGTGGTCGATGGGCCAGGCGAACATTTCCTTGAGCATCGAAGCGGCTTCGAGCTTGGTCAAGAAGCGAGTCTGACCGAAGCGGTTACTAGCATATAATTAAATCATGTTGATTGGAATGGAAGAGGTCTACTTACTCGTCGGGGTTACCAACACAATACTTGATATTGAGGAGATGTGCGTTCTCCAAGATACGCGCATGGTAGAAGTAGACCTGCTTGAGCAGGTTCTCTCCGTTCATACCAGCCTCCTTCAGCGTGCGCATGTCGCGAGAGTCGAAGGTTGAAACGCCGATTTCAGTGAGGGCGTCATGGTTAGCGACCCAGTTCTCGGTGTCGAAGTTTACGACGATTATATTGTCGGCGATGAAGGGAACGCCTTCGAGCTTGGAGAGACCAAGACAGTGCGAGAAGACCTCGCTTCCGGTCTTCGAGGTCAGGGCCAACGCGAGCTGTTGGATCTCGGAAGGAGGAGGGGAGGGGGATGATGAGCTGCCGTGGTCTGGGCTGACGGAGCGAGAGAGGTCTGAGTTGGACATCTTTTCGTTGTTTTGAAGAGTTGATGTTGTAAATCTTCGTTGCCGCACGGAACTTGAAGGATCTACGAGAAGGGTTGGTGGAGGAAAGGGGGACTGGCTGAAATATAAGTGATAAACTTGTAGAGTGATTGATGTGCTTCTTTCGACCATGATTGACTCTACAATACCAAGGCTCTGTGAATGATATACAGTGGTGGGTGCGACGAATAGGCTAGTGCTATACAGCGGGGGTTCAAGCTAATCGCCAAGGGTGAATGTAATCCATGGTGCTGCCTACGTGCTTTGACGTATGACTTTATCAGAGTTTTCTACTTCAAGCAAGTAAGAAGGATGATGCTGCGAATTGCAAGTGATATTACTAGATCGCCATACTTTGGTAGCCTTCGACTGGTACTACCACGATATGTAGCGAGCAGCAAGCCACTCACGACTTCCGCAATCCGCAACCCAAATGACAACTATACCAGAAAACACCTTATTGTCAGATTCGATGTTATTAGTAAGATCAGGGAGGTCGAGCCCTGGAGTTTTCTGCACTATGATTGAAATTCTATGGGGGGGCTAGATACCAGTTTGCCAATGCGGCTAGATTCGACATTTGCTTACTTTACAGACTTGTGTACATCAGTGCGCGCGACGGCATAGACAATGGAGTAGAAAGTAGAAAGCGAAATGGGTAACCATCTGATTGATCAAGCGAGATGGGATTTTGTGATTATGGAATAGCACGCAAGTACTTTACCACGGGCAAACCTCCGCCATATGCGTGTACATTGAGAAATGGTTCCTTGACTTGGCGCACTTCGTACATCTGATCGCGGATTGTAGCAAGCCACAGGCGCAGCGCCGGTGGTCATGTCCACCGCACTGTGTAGAAAAATTCTCTTTACCCCATGTAGGCAGGAGACTTTGGCTATGAAGCATCGTGAGGTTGACCACGGACCGAATGCTTTCCTTCGCCCGCGGAAATCTCGGGTGCATGATGATCTGGACAACGTCGATAAGGGTGTATGCAACACGATCAGCGGCAGTCTTCGAATTCGGGTAATCGATCCCGAGGTCGTTAGTCAGTTGCAGTAACGTGATGGGTTCGTCGCGCCAGCCGAAGCCTTGCTCTTGAGCGACGCTTTGTGCGCTTATCGTTGCTACAATGTTCTTCCAGATTGAAGGGTGGCATCCGAACATATCTTGAAGAGTTTGAAGCTGCGGTTTGTCGAAGTTCAGAAGAACAATAGGACCGAGGTCGCACTCGCCGCACTCCTCGGCAACGTACTCGTCTCGTACGAGATTGTACGTTAGTGGTGTCGGCTCCGTCTTGATGCGTCTCCTGAAGCAGTCTTCCAAAAACTCACCCGCTTCTGCTTCATCTACAAAGCGTGTGGTACCGAAGTGGTTGTCTTCTAACTTATTGGGGTCTGGCAAGCAGTTCGCAAAATGCGCGTTACCCTGCAGACGCAAGTGATGGTATGCTACACTGTTGAGAATGTTCACGCTATGTGGTCCCGGCGACAAAAGATGATGTCGCATACCCTTTCGCTCGAGAACATGTAAGCCAACATCCAGTAGACGAAATGGTTCCCGACTCAAAGTGCCGCACTTCAAAGCGATTAGCACAACATGTTCCGCTAGTGCTGGAACGCCCGGTTTGTCAAAGCCTAAACAGTATTTGAGGATTTCGGTATGACTTAACCCTTCGAAGAATGCAGTAACGCTATCCATACGGAAGTTGTCTGCAACAATAGGTGGTTCCTTTCTATCCGCGTGCGATGTAGCTGGCAAGGCGTCTTTAATATGCGATTTTCCCCATTTGTTTGCGGGTGAACTATAGAGCGCGCTTGCTTGAATTAAAGCATCAACTGACGGCGTTTGACCCATGTCGTTCTTTCCTAGGGTCGTATGCTTCTAAAATGTGATTTCCGTCCGATATATTGAAGGCTGAGTTGCAATGCGTGTAGCTGTTCTACATCTCAAAGTATTCGTTGACCAATATATGGGGGAAGAGAAATGTATTGCACGCAGAACTGTGAATTTTTACGACCAAACGGGTGACCGTATATTGCGCGGTGCTGTGGATCAAAGCAGTGTTACCATGGATGCAGTGCTCGGTGACTGACGCTGGGTGAAACCATGATTCTAGCATCTCAAAAGATATATTCAGGTACTCAATGATTATCCTAATCGGGAGAGACAACTTTTGTCGACGTTGAAAGGCTCGAAATCAATCGCAAAGTCTGTCTTTGGGGCTGCATTAACGACACAGCTGTGCGCTGCGTACTGCCGTCGGCCAAGTCCTGGAGCAGAAGAGCTGGCTACTAATCTGATATGGTTAAAGAAACACGACCCGAAATTGTATCTTTTCTCAGCATTTCCATGCCGCCACGAAACGGAAGTCCAATACACGGTGTATGAAGAAGATGTCATTTGTGGAAATGCAAGCGTCAGATGAGGAATGGAGATTTTGGGGTGATGTCATGGGACCAGCCACACGTGGCGGGCCGTGCGCGCTGTCCAGCTTCCACCCCTGGACTGTCGTATCGCCCGCCGTTTCTTCATTCTCATACTCCTGCATGTACAAATATCGTATCCCAATGTTCTTAGCAATTTCGAACCCTTACTCCAAGGCAGGATTTCCTTTGTATCCTTCTACTGTACCCTGATTGAAGATCGGCGGCTCCACAAGCTTCCCCGCATTCCAGCGAGTCAGGCCATCTCCACGTGTTCGCAGCGAAAGTTGCGAAGTAACTCGCGCATGGATACCTCGTCTTCCCTCTCTCGTATCGATACTTTAATATCAGAGATGCCAATGGATGAGGACAGTAAGGCCGCCGTCCTATGCGATAGGTTGAGCACATTGCCCGATGAGCTGCTGCTCCGTATCTTCGAGGCGGTCGGTTGTATCTCCAGGCGCGATCTTTGCAACGTATCGCGCGTCAATAAAAGATGCCACCGCCTCAGTGATGCCGTCTTGTATAAGAGCATTCTTTTCGAGACTCCAGAATTTCACCTCACGTTCAGCGAGTCGTTGAGCCGTCGACCGCGTCGTGGTTCAGCCATCTATGAAGTCAAGCTGGCGTATCCTTCCTCAGAGCTATCGCAGCTGGCGCTCGACGCGCCTGTCCATGGCTCATATCTCGATCCCAAGACTTCGGACAGCTTATCTCGAACTTTATCTATTATGTCGAATTTGGAGAAGCTCGATATATCGGTTCCCGACGTGCTCTTACACGGTATCGGTACCTTGTTCAATGGACCTTTCGACCTCGCCTGCTTAAAGACCTGCTCACTATTCTACCAGTGCGCTAACGATGCTTACTGGGACCTGCGCGAAAACATACACATCTTCGCTCATCCTACGCTGGAAACCTTGACGATCCGCAGAGCTAAGCTAGACGAAAAGGGTTTCGATCACATCGAGCGGCCGCACATGACAGCGCTCAAGCAACTACACTTGATCGAATGCGACATTAACGACGACTCCCTCGGTGATCTTCTCGAACTACCTGAGGCACTTGAAGAATTCGTCATGACGCAAGCGGAAGAGCCTGAGCCAGAACTGGAAGAGAGCTCTGACAACGTTGGGGATTACATCCTGGCTGCCCAGTCACAGGCCGAGTTTTTGAAGAGCATCACCATCGATCACCCGACACTTACTGGGCGCAAGGTGCTACGCATGAGAGAGTTTGCGGCGCTCAAGACACTGCGTCTGAATTGGGATTACCAGCTATTTGGAAAGTCGTCTAAGAAGCCGCGTCTTCATTCAGTTGGTCTTCCGCCGGTGATGGAGACACTCGAGTTTTTCAACGAGCTAGGAAGTGATACTGAAGTCACAGACCTTCTTCTGGCTACTATTGAGCAGAAAGATATTGTCGCAAGAAACTGGAAAACCATGGTAGTGGTGGAAGGCGAAGGGGGTGTGTCTCGAGAAATTAAAGATGCGTGTAAGACTGCGGGTTTGCGGTTGGATATCATTGGCGCCATGGACGATGAGGATTCTGATCTGGATGAAGATGCTGATATGGAAGATGATTCTGAATCGGAAAGCGAATAGACTATTTCTCGCTACTTATTGGAATACTATTGCTTTTGTAACGCTACCGCACTGGCGTTATTACTGCAATAACAGCGTGTATCTGCCCTTTGCAATGATCTTCACATTTCTGCCTTTGCCTGCTTTTCTACCTGACCTTCCAAGCGCCTTCCGCCTCTTCAAGCGTCTCTTCGCATCTCTTTCGTCTTTTGCATCGTCCCCATTTACTCTATTCTTTCGCCTACTGCTATCCCTCCAACCCTCTACGTATAACCAAATCTGACGCACTACACAGACTGACACTGTTGCCATATTGTCCGCCTTCAGTTTAACATGCGCAGCAGGGATGTAGGAAATTCGCGGCCGTGGGATGGATGCGAGAAGGCTCACTGGTAAGCTGGCTAGGCGCGCGAGCGCGGTAGTTGTATTGTTCATCATATGGAGGTTGTCTGTGGTTTAGGGTCTACGATGAGAATGGCAAAGCAAGGGCCTTCAGTGGGTGTATGATATATACGGTCCTCAATACGTGTCTCTAGATCAAGGTGTCATGCGTGGTGGCAAGGTCTTGAAGTTTTCAGCGTATTATTAGGCATCTATATCCAGCAGATAAGGGTATGAAATATTGTAGCCCTATCTATAATACCTGTAATTTAACGTTTTGCCGGCAGCCAGATGGTTCTCAACTACGGAACGTAGGTTCAGATGACGAAGATCCCCCAACCTTGATGTCCACGCGGTCCGCCACCACGACTTCCACGACCGCCTCGACCACTGCCGTAGTTGCCACGCCCATGACTCCGACTTCGGCCTTGGCCTTGATAATCAGGGCGATAGATATTGACCCTGCTCCGCATCTTTCGAATGCTGTACTCTACGTCTTCAAGGCGAATGACAAAGTCGCCTGCAATCGCCATCAAGACTGAGACGTCTTCAAGTATGTTATTAGTACGATTCTCTTTGGGACTTCGAAGATATCTTACCTTCGTCTACGTTATTGCCGGAAATCTCATTCCTCTCATTCATATGTCTAACCGTAAAGTAGACCGCGTCTCGCTTGTGGGCGCTGCGTGTGAGGTCCGTTAGACGGTTTAGCGCTGTGATGAGGGAAAGACTCCAATAGTGGATATCCGGGTCTGGGAGATACTGGATTGTAAATGGTGTAGCCGGCGAAAGAACACCCCAGAAAAGACCGATAGACTTAGAAGACGGACAATCTTGGCCTTGGTTTCTGAAGGGAGCGCGCTAAACCCGTGGAACGTGGGGTGTCATCAATGATGTAGTTCTCCGCTTCGCCATCCGCCTCGTTGTTCGGAGCTTCTCCGCCCTCCATTCGAATATTATCTGTGATGTTGCTGTCTCCGTCGGCGGATACCGTATTGCCAGTGATGGGATCCATGGGGTCGAAAATGGGGATGTTGCTGGCGTCAATGAGATCCCTGTTGTTTGCAGGCCTGGTATTGATTTGTTGTCGAGAGTAAAACTGATTGATACAGCGATAGTTCTCGTCGAGACTGATTATAAACAAGCCAGGAGTCGATGCGCGAACGATGGAGTTCTAGTAGTGATGGACCGTGTATACGAAGACTAGCAATACGCTAATCTTGAAGCCCCAGGGAAGGGATCTCTCATTGCGGTAGCGAGACAGCTTTCGTCTCTGCATTGCAATAGAATGTCTGCTCCGGAGTTCCGTAGGGACGGCTTCTTATTATATCGGCACGGCGTTTGTCGTCTGCGCTGAAGTAGCACTGGTGATCTCTATCACGATGCATGAACTCCTGACATCTTCATTCGGGTGTCACAATACGCTCTCATTATTTCTGTCTCAGAACTTTTCCATTTGCATCGTTCACCATTACATTCGCAGGTAGTTCAACGGGTTTGCTGTCATCGAATTTTGGCTGCAACACGTCAGCCCTTAAGTTTTCATCAGATATTCCAACAATGATGGCACCTACTGCTGCCATATACCCATCCAGCTGTTGCGCTGGCAGAGGCTCAAGTCTCCCGGTTCCCTGCAACTCTAGCGGCCCGGTGTATCCGTATTGTTGTTCGTTATGCAGCTCTGCCGGTAGAGGTTCCTGATCATTGCTTGGCGCACCTGCCGGCGCAATGTATTGAGCCCCTACGAATGGCGTGCGCTCTTCCTGCATCCTGCGCATAGCCCTTTCGCGCCTCCGCTGTTTGCTACATATTTTGAAGAAAATGATCGTGCAGAAGATGCCGGAAAGAAATATGATAACGAGAATGATGATCGCTACAGTGCCTTGTAACGAGAGGTCGGCGGAGCGACGCTCGAGGGGCGGCATGTCATTTGGCGCTTGATCGGAATCGTGAGTGCGGTCTTGGAGTACGAGGGGTGCGAAAGGATCGAAGTCGCGAATGTGTCACTGTGCAATGGGGGCCTGAGGTGTACTTAAACTACTCATACCTGGAGGAGGCCGAATCCGAAACTCATGCATGCTGGGGCACAGATCCCTTGCACTGCCATGAATGTGATGGAGATGCGGGCGTATCTTGGGGGCCTAAATGGCGGCGCGCGAGGCTGATTCGCAGGTGCCTGAGCAGATCGGCCAACCCAATCAGAAACGACGGAGTTTTACGGTCGAAATGCACGAGGTTGAAGACCCATTAAAATGACCTCTATAGAGCACTTTGGCGATGGCTTTTGGAGGCTTTCCACAGCAGAACCCGTTCAGGATTCTTCTGTTCCGTGGTTCGTGTTGCGCTGACCGAACACCACCTCCTGATAGTCCAACATGTAACTCTTGACCCGCTTTCCGACATCAACAAGGACAAATGACAATGTTCAGACTTCGTAGTCGTTATTTCACAGAGTTGTGAGGTTGTTAAGAGTTCGGCGGTAGATACGCTTGAGCCATACAGCGCTTGCATTAGCGTATACTAAATCGGTGGATGACGCGCGATTCGATCCAGGACGAGATGACGTCTAACATCTGACCAGCGCGAAGAATTAAGTGAGCTTGCAAACTGGACGTCGCGAGCTTTTCATCTTTCCTATATTGACGGTCGCCATGCTGCAGCAACGGTGAACAGTACGTTATGCGCCAAGCTCGGCTGTATTTTCCCCTCCTCCCACGGTTTTCGCGACTACGCGCCGACCCTGTGTCACAACACCCCACGCACTTCTCACTGTGCGACCGCCTATCGGACAATTAATAAACTACAATCCGCCTCGTCACATCAAACGCGCAAGCCTCAAGAAGGGATACCTGCGCGACAAACCCCATCAGTTTCGAAGTCCAGTTTGAGTATGCACTCGCTGTACAGACACTTAAGAAGACGTCAATACTACAAGAACCAAAATGGATGAGGACCTGCGTCTTCTCGAGGTATGTGAGAGAGCGAGACAAAATAGTCGCGAGATGTCGCTAACGGCAATGCTACTCACAGCAGGAGTACTGCCCAGCAATAGACCCCACACTACTTTACACGATATACTCGGACTTTGCGGGGGAACCAAACGCAATTGACCTTACTAGGCAGTTACTGGAACCCCTGAAATTGACAGCCGAGGCGGAAGCCCTCGACTTTGACCCATCTGGCAGTAGCGGAGGCGCTGTCCAGAGTAGCCCAGACAAACACAGCACCGATGCCGACTCCAATGCCGAATCGTGGACGACGCAAACGGTAGCGACGGATCACTCGACTCTCTCGAACGACTTCTCGACACTTAGTGTTAACGGACGGTCAGGGAGCTCGGAAGGGTCATTGGAGGATGGGTACTACAAGGACACTGAACAATTCGACGTCCCAACAAAGGAGTTGTTGCTTGCCGAAACCTTCCCTGGCCTACGTCTTGCGCAAGTGACGTATACGCTGAAGAAGTGCGGATACGATTACGATAAAGCGACGGATGAACTGCTGAACCAAGTTTTCTTCGATGATAGTAGGAGGAGCCCTACTGAAGAAGGACCAGTTGCGAAGGGTATTGATGCGTTTTCAGAAGATCACCATGTACCGCAAAAAGGCAAGAAAGGCAAGGGCAAGAAGAAACAGAGACTGTCGCTCGAAGCGGGCACCACTCACTTCGTCGAATCAGATGCGCCGGCGAATCGCTGGCAAAGTACAAGTCGCGACGTTGACTTTATAACATCACGCACAGGTCTGTCGGCGAAGACTGTATCGTCACTTTACCACGCGAACGGAACATCTCTCTCGGCGACTGTGCTAGCAATCGTAAGAAAGGACATCGCTGAGCACAAGAAGGAAAGTCAGCCCGATGCTGCATTGGTGCAAGATGCGATCACACTCAACGAAGCCTTCCCATCTATGGACTTGGAGCATGCCCTCGCCATAGTACGCCTTACTGCCCCATCAACGATAAAGGCCCAAGACTTAGCAAAGTCCCTCACCCAACAACTTGCGAGCGAGACGGGCGGCAAAGGTGGCATCAAGCTCGACTTACGATACGCTCCCGTCGATCTATCCGACCCTTCCGAAGCCACTAAACTTCCCACCTTGAATCCATCTGCCCGACCGCGCGACGCAGTCTCCACCGCCGCTGCTCGAAACGAAGCATTTGGAAAAGCATCTGGCGCCTATCGTAGGGGCAAATCCACCCCCCTCATGCGACAAGCGGCCGCATACTACGCACAAGAAGGCCGGGACCTAAATGCCAACCTGAAAGCGATGAACGCAGCCGAAGCCGACGCATTCGTCTCGCAACAATCTGGTCCGACATATCTTGATCTGCATGGTGTCACTGTGGCAGATGCAACTAGAATCGCCAGGCAACGAACACAAGCTTGGTGGAACAGTCTGGGCGAGCGGAGAATACCAGAGTGGAGTGGGGCTGGCCGGAGAGGCGGTGGTGAGGCATATAGAATCATCACCGGATTGGGCAGACACAGCGAGGGTGGAAGAGGAAAGCTGGGACCTGCAGTGCTGAAGACGCTAGTCAACGAAGGCTGGAAGGTAGAAGCGGAGCCCGGAGAGCTATATGTCACAGGCCTGGCAAGAAGGAGATAATGCGAGGTTGGATGTTTGCGCGGGATTTTATGAATTTCAGCAATGTACAGGCCTCGACGCTGTCGGAGTGCATACGACGATATCAACATATCACTAGCATACTCTAGCGATATAGTGAAGCGTTGCAATTAAATACGACCAACTAAGAAACCAAGACAACCTCTGTGAATACAAGACTTTTGGCCCTCACTCCTCACTCCTTCCAAAGGTGAGGCTAGCGGTGCGCTAACATCTAAGCTTCTTGGAACCCCACTTGCCATCCACTACCTGCATCTTCATCTTTATTGCCTCAGACCAAACTGATCCCGAAACGTTCAACAACATGTCAAAAACGCTCTCGCACATGGACTGTCACAGTAGTAAGGCCGAACCTGAGATCTGCCTTAGTTTCGAAACCAAAACACGCGTTTTTAACCGGAGAAAGAACGCGCCAAGTTGTTGTTTCACGGGTGCTGCGACGGAAACAGCAACACCATCATTTGGAAGTAGCGTCAACGGTTAATGATGAACGTGTATTAGGAACCACAGACTATCACGCCAATTGCCAGTCCATTGAGCGCGAACAGATAATCACAATATATTTCAACGTCAACGTCAAAGTCAACACAGTGCGTGGTCGTTCCGTAGAGATACCAAGCTGCGCCAAGAACCAGTGTACGGTCGGGCTACAAGTCGCCCATCAAACAAGCAATCACGTGTTTTGTATAATAAGCGGAACAAGCTACACGTCTAGTGTTTCGCTTTTCTCACATCAAAGTTGCAGACTACGGCAAAGTATGCTCGCGCAGCACCACGACGGCCTGAGGGCATGTACGACTTCCTGCACGCATTGCTACAGCCTCACACCTACCATCATGATCGACAGAACGATCGACCGAAGGGCCAGAACACGTCAGCTGTTTGATACCGGACATCCTCTGCCCGATCGGGCCTTTCCCCATGGGAGGATGATATATAGAGGGAATGTCCTGCCCAGACTATAGTGTTATTCTTCAGTTCGATACTCGTTGAACATCTCAGTCCTTGTTCTCTACTTCTCTTCAACATCCTTCCTTGTACATATCGCTGCTAGCCGGCTTTTATTCCTTTATACACTCTCTACGTACTTTACTGCCGGGCAGTTCATCTCAATTTTTCTACAAATCTTATTTATCATTCAATATGAAGTTCGACTCCTCCATCCTTCTCGCCTCTTTGGCAGCGTCCGCTGTTGCGGCTCCAGCTCCTTTCACCAACACCGGTCTTGGAAAGCGATGGGTTGACACCACTGGTGGTCAGAAGATGCCAGCACACTTCGTCTCTACCGTCCGCAAGCTCTCTACCGAGAAGCTCAAGACCAAGCGTCAGCTTGACCAACTTCTCGGTGGATTGACAGGCGGTGCTGGCGGAGCTGGGGGTGCCGCTGGTGGAGCCGGAGGACTTGGTGACCTTCTCGGTGGCCTTGGTGGCGGCGCTGCTGGGGGTGCAGGCGGCGCAGCGGGCGGAGCGGGAGGAGCAGCGGGCGCAGCTGGGGGCCTTGGTGATCTTCTCGGTGGACTGATGGGTGGTGGTGCGGCTGGCGGCAACGCAGCTGGTGCTGGTGCTGCCAACACTGCTGCTACCGGCGCTGCAAACGGCAAAGGGAAGGGCAAGGGCAAGGGAAAGAAGGGTGCTGCTGGAACAACTGCTGGCACTGCTGGTACTGCCAACAGTGCTGGTGTTAACGTGAGTATTTCCTCACCTCGGACCTTTGAAACATGCTGACTTTAGTCAAGGGCGCTGCAGGTGCAAACAACGGCACAGCTGCCGCAGGTGGCAACACTGCTGGAAACAGACAGGCTGGTAACGGACAGGCTGGTAACGGACAGGCCGGTAACGGACAAGCCAATCTTCCCACTGCCGGTAAGTAGTCTGAAATCCAGAAGCTCCAAGCATAGACACTGACATATCCCAGGCGCTGGTCAGGGCCAACAGGGTACCGGAGCTGCCACTCCCCCAACCCCTCCCACTGCCGGTCAGCAGCCTGCTGGTCTCGCTGGTAACGCCGCTCCTTCTGCTCCTGGTGCTGCTGGTCCCGCTGGCACTGCCCCTCCCGCTCCCCCTGCGAACGGTGCTGCTCCTCCTGTCCCAGGCCAGCAGACTGGTACTGGGGTTGCAGGAACCGGTGCTGCAGGAACCGGTGCTGCAGGAGCTGGATCTGCTACTGGAACTCAGCAAGGAACTGGTGCTGCGGGCACTGGCTCTACCACCGGCACTCAGCAAGGTCAGCTTCCTCAGGCTGGCTCGGCTGGCTCGGCTGGTGCTGGACAGTCTACTACTGGTTCTGCTACTGGAAACGGTGCTACTGGCAACACTGGTGCTAACACTGGTGCTGCCTCTAACTCCGGTGCCACTGATGCCAACGGTGCTAAAGGTGCCAACGGTGCGAACGGCGCTACTGGCACTTCAAACGGTGCAAACGGTGCCAACGGTGCCTCTGGCAACGGAAAGGCCTCAGGCGGCAAGAGCCAGTCTGCTGCCGACGCCGATTCTGCTCTCGCCGACTCCCAAGAGGAGGACTAGATTATTATGGCGACTAGTTAATCGACATATGCGTCTTCATAGCGCAGGGTATGAGGGAAAGAGTGGGTCATGTTGTGGCACGATACCACAGATGCAAGCGTTTGGTTTAGCTATGTAATGATAAAGGTTCGACTGGATTCGGGGGCTCACGATCATTTAACGGATAATGCTATTTACCTTTCACGAGACTTTTGGATTGGCAACGGATAATGTGGTGTGATGTGATAGGAAGGTAGAATCGGCATTTCGGTTGAACACGCGAAACAATGAGTAGACATGGAGAAATAGATTTCTTCACCGAAATGTTGGAGTAATCAATACCTTGACGTACCTTCCTGGTTGGATGAGTGGTGTAAGCAAACCTCTAGTGTCTGCAAATATGGAAGATGGTCTACGCGTGAGGGATGGCATGTCGTTGGTGTTGAAGTGAAATATACAGCGCTTCAGCTTTCATCTTACCTCCTTGTTTGCGAGATGAGTATTGGACAGCGACTCCTCTACCTTGCAGAATTCGAGAACTCGCACCACGCGCCGGCATGCGCAACCAAGTTACCCTTTCCATTTTGAACAACGTCGGTAAAGCAATGACGAGGCACTTACGCAGTCTTCCTAACGATTATTTCCTACTCATGACCATACACTGATCAAAACACATTTGCACCAACACCGTGTAAATGGACGAAGAAAAAAACCGACCACAAATCCTTTTGCGATTCTAAAAGTCCAAAATTCGCAGACAAGCTTTGAAAACACACGAAGAACGCCCTGATCCTATCGTTGACCTTTACAATGCATACTGGAAACCAACAGATGATATCGCAATAAGGCGTTGAATCTATGCATGTTCGAGAGAAAAAAACGTGGAATTACATGTCTGGCGCCCCCCAACGCAAAAGCACCAGGGTATCCATAATCTTGTGTCCTCCTCACTCCCCATCGTCATCATCATGATCATACCACCACCGGGCCAACAGTCTAAGAAAGATGGAAAGCGCCTTGGCCCTCGCGGATGGCCACGCTGAGCTTCTCGCGGAGGATCTCGACGGTGCTATAGTCGGGCATCTTCAGGTAGTTGACGCAAGTCATGACGGAAGGAAGGTAGTCGTCGGACGTAAAGGGTGGTTCGCTGGGTTTGCAGACAACCGTGAACATCGGCGTGAGAGCTTTGAAGCCTGGAAAGAGATTAGTAAGAGAATGTTTGTCGCAAGACAAGTGAAGTAGCTTACCTCCAATCGGGAGCTTGGGGCTGCCGGTGATGAACTGCAGGAAGTCCCTACGCTCCTGTGCATCGAATTCGCTCATGGTAGCAAGCAGGTTACGCACGCTTTTGCTATCGAGATTGTAGCCGTGGTCTGCCTTAATGGAATCCATCAGAGCTGGAATGTAGTTAGCAACAGTGATCAACAGCTATATACTAAGAAACTTACTTTCTAGCGACCAATCCTCATCCGTCCGGCCGAACAGCATCACCAACTCATCTGGAGTAAACGCCTTGAGCGCAGAGTATGGGAACACCTCTGTGAAACCTGCGCGGAAAGCATCCGCTTGCCGCTGTACACCCGAGCCAAGCGTGAAGTCGATGACCTTTTCTACATACGTGTCGACATTCTCGATCGTGACTGGTGTATCCGCACCGTTTGCAATAAGCTCGATCGAACCGTAGCCCGGAAGTGTAAAGTCCAAAGCTAGGTCTTCTACCCGACAATCTTGGATGACAATGTCTTGCAGAGCTGCGGCCTTTGCTGTTGCGCTCATGCTGTCGTTGTCGACCTTCTTCTTTGCATCAGCAAATTGCTTGAGCAGCAGCAAGGACTTGGCTAGATCTTCATCGACGGCCTTGATGGCTCCAAGAGATGGTGCGACTGCTGCACTAGTACCATCGCTGATGCGGAAGAACGTTGGGTTGAAGGATACGTCGATGATGCGAGAGTCCAGCATAGATCGAGCAACGAATTTGCCCAGAATCTTGAACAGCTCAAGACGCTTCTCTCCGTTCTCGGTGTTTGCTTCTTCAGCGCTCATAGGAGCGGGGTAGAGGCCTCGCTTACCAAAGGCGTATTCGTCGCTATCGTTAGACTCGTTCTCCCGCCAGAGCTTCAGCTTCTTCTTTGAAAACTCGCGGGACACGGTAGAGTAGAATTCTAGCGTTGGTCCCAGGCCAGTTCCCACTTCCTCAAAGTACTCCACTTCCAGAACACTAGCTGAATGCCCATAAAGCTGCATGACCTTCATTGCGGACTCCAAGATTCGAGACCTGGAGATGCGAACCTTTTGGCGCTGAAGTCTACCTAAGAAAGGCCGCTCATCGCGATGTCGGCTGTCGCGTGAGTCACTCGTGGGTTGCGAGTTCTGCCATCGCGTCATCGACCTTGAGTAGCCGAACGAGGTGGACTGCAGGAAGAGGTGGCGTGTCTCGAATGGGAAAAGGAATGGGTAGAAACGAGCCAGGTCCTCGCTCCAGCTGGGAAGACAGTTGCTGGCTACCACAAGAGGCTCTTCCAGCTGACGGTTCAGTTTTGCTGTAAGCTTCGTGTTGACGAACTGTGAGAGCGGCTCAGCGTTCAATTTGACCCGCTCGTTCGCCAGGAGGATGTCATCAAGGTGCGAGTTCAGCCCGTGAAGTATGCTTAGCAGTCGCAGGATACCGGACGTCACAGGATGCTGATCAAGCGAGGCTGGCATACCCGAAACGTCCGACCTCGACTCTGGGGGTGGTGTCAAGGAGCTAGGCTCGCTTGGTGGAGGGCCTTGGACCCGCTTGAACTTGATAGTATGAATGCCATTCCAAACCGAGCGATGTGACCCGTCTGATGGTTGAGACTGGCTAAAGTGTACAGCTCGGTAGATTGTCGTCTCATTTGAGAGTGGTTGGTCGTTCACGCTGAATTCGATATGCCAGTCTTGAGGGGTCGATTGTACAGCGGCAGCATATGAAAGAGCGCTCGCCGCACCACCCAAGTTTTGACGCATAGCAGCTGAGCTCTGTAGTAATGCAGACAAACGAGATGCTGGTGTTCGGTTCTCGGGAGGTGGTTTTGCCAAAGGTGTGCTTTGCACAGGTGTAGCAATCCTCGTTCCATCTTCATCGCGAGCAGTGGCCTGCCCGGTTGATGCAACTTCAACACTAACAGCCGATGGATCAGGCATTTCCTCATCCAACTCGTCGTCAAGCTCGTCGACGATAGCATTCAAGGCGCTGTCCTCATCCATAGAATCTCCGTCAGAGAGCTGCGCTTCATCAGCGCATTCGACTGGGTCTTGACTGCTGTTCGAGTGAGGCTTCGCGGGAGGTGGTGGCGGCGGTGGAGGGAGCTGCGCCTGTTGACGCCTACTCGATCGCCGAGACTTCTCTCGCGGAGTCGAGCTCGGTCCAGGTTGCGGTGAATCGGTCGGAGCTCCCTTGGATCGTGAAGACTTCTTTGAAGGACTGTTCGTCGTATCTGAGGGGGTATGAGGCGGCGGGGGTGCACGTCCTTCAGAGAGAGCTTGAGCATACATGGCCTCGAACTGATCCCTAGAGGGAAATTGATCCCGAGACTTGGAGGGGCGTGGCCGATCTGCCAGGCTAATACGTGGTCGGAGATAGTCATCCAAGGCTTTGAATGTCGCAATGGCATGAATGGAAACCATGATGTTGCGATAAGTCTTTGGAATGCCTGAATCGTCATCGGCGACAAGCTTTAGGCGAAGCTGTTTGGCAAGCATGGAAGTCGCGCTTCCTCGGCTGTCATACATGTTTTGGTGAACAGTGATCACGTCGAGATGTTCAGACCGGCTCAGCAAATCTTGAAGCTTATGGACCAGCACGCTAAAGGGCGTAGCTGGAGATGCAGTGCTCGCGGTTTTGATCTTGCTCTGGCTACTACCTCCCATGAAGGCTTCGAGGAAGATGGGCCTAGGGTCGACATTGTTGTCGGATGTAGAGGTCGAAAACAGCTCCAACAACACTTCCACAATCTTTGAAGTCTTAAGCTCGTAGCTTGTAATGCTTTCCAACGCATCGCCTTCGAAATAAGATGCCAGTCGAGTGAACAGGTTCATGCAGTCGTTTGTATTGCCATCAGCAACGCACATCTTGATCTCATCAGCAAGCGACTTTAGATCCTCCAAGACCGCAGAAGCCTTGTCGCGTATAGGCTTGTCGGAGTCCTTCTCGTGAGCTTCAATAAACTTCTTAGCACGTAGTGTAATGATGTCTTCGATGTCAGGCATTGGTAGTGGTTCTCGCTGGTCGGAAGATGATGAAGAGTCTGACTCGTCATCCTCGTCCCGGTTCTGGCTGCTTTCGTTTAGATCATCGTCCGGATCTACGTCTTCTCCATCATCGGACTGCATTTCAACATCCACGCCTTCGCTCGAATGAGCGGCTTCTCGCTCAGCGTCCTGTTCTGCAGAGGAAACCGTGCTGGCGCCTGAGTCGGCTGCCACCTCAACCTCAACTGTTGACTTTGAGTCCTTAGGCTTAGTATCCAGAGCCTTGCAAGGTCGATTTGCCAATTGTAAGATCTCGGAAACGACACCTTCGCGATAGAACTGATATCGATAAATGGACTCCAGTCGTTTGAGTAGTAGTTCAGCAGCCTGCAACGCGTACGTGACTAAGGATGGATGATCTTGCTGCGTAAAGATTGACGCCAGATGCGAGGCATATGGCACAGGCCGTAGGGCCTCCTCTAGAATGTCGGTGTCCAAATTTGACAGCATTTTGAGATGAGCGGTAAGCACCTTTTGCCGAACACTGAGGTTAACAGTACTCGAGTAGGCGTCCGTCAGAGTTGGTAGAAGAATTACAGCGAAGCGCTTAACCTCTGCCTTACAATCTTCCAGTAACTCGACACGCTTCTCATTTGCAGTCTTCTTGTTCGTGGAGGATAACGGAAGGAGATCGTCGCCTGGGTAGCCCGCATCGAAGAGATCGTCAAGGTACGTTAGGCCATCGGTTGAGACGTCAGGCAATAGCTCGCAAATGACATTCAATGTCTCGAACACCTGGTCCTTGGGCCGATGAATCAGAGCTTGCATGATAACTACAGAATCGATCTTAGCTGCGACGCCCTCGGTGCCACTGGGAGGCGAGACACCGGTGAGAATTTGGTACAGAGTATCGACTACGTTCATCTTCAGGAGCTCAGCTGATAGACGTGGGCTGGCCTTGGCCGTGTAGGCGAGAACCTGGAGAAACATGGTGTGAATACTGGGTCCAATGAGGTTCGTGCTGCCTGGTAGGAGAAGTCGCAGGATGGCCTTGAGAAGACCTGGGCTGACCAGCTCCTCCAGCTTGCTCTCCTGCTGTCTAAAGCTCTGGACGATCCTTGATACACAGATGCAGCCTTGTTCCACGACCTTTTGGTCATTGTTGTTGAGGATGTTTTCGAGTATAGGCATGACATCGCGAACGACCGGAAAGGAATCCTCTGGGATGTTCCGACAGCAGTTGGCGGCAGTTGTGACGGCTACCCGCTGTGTGCTTGTGGCGAAGAAATCGAGGAACGTCAGGCACGCTGTGAGACCGCCTTCCCGTACAATGACTCCAGGAAATTCCACGGAGATTTTCTCCAAGGTGCTCAGACATTGCTCAGCTAGATCGATAAAGTTGATTTCGAGCAGCTTTGAGCAGAGTACAGGCACGGCGCCACCGTAAACGACATTGGCGGTCGCTTGGGGCAAGGCCTCCATCAAGTTGGCCAAGCATCGGCAGGCGAGCAACATAAGCTCCGGGTTCTCCTCCATTGTGAACTCGTTCGGCTGCATGAGCTTGACCAGTTCCTTGACGTAGGCATCGGGAGAGAAGTGGCCTGCCAGGTTGTCCTCTGTGGAGATGAGGAGGACCTCGGACAGCTCTTGCAGCGCAATCAGCTGCATGGACATGTCTGGCGACCGTAGTTGGTCTAGGATGCCCCGAAGGCGCTGTGTGGTACCCGCCATCATACCGGTGAGCTGCCTCAACGCAGAGAGACTGTGCGAGTTGCGTCCAAGGAAGCCGCTGGTGAAGGGATCGTCATCGTCATCATCATCATCGTCGTCGTCGTCGTCCTCATCGTATCGCTCTCCATGTTCGTCGCCATTCTCGTCGTCGCTGGTGTGATGATCGTCAGGCTGGCGCGTCTCCTCTTCGGCGTTGTTCGTGAGTGCATCGTCCATGCTTGTGTCGTCTCCAGTCTTGTTCGACTTTCGGGAGCTTCGGCGGGATGTGGAAGGAGTATCGGCGTCGGGCGCGGCGTTTAAAGGTTTGCTCTTGCGGCCGCCCTTGGTGCGTTTTGAGAGTTGCGGCGTCGACTTTTCGTCAATAGGATCTGATGGTGGGCTGTTTTCAGTCAGCGCGAGCTCCTGTGTTGGAGCCATTGGCACAGACCCAGATGAAGACATGGCTGCTTTGCCTTTGGCTTTCTTGGCCTTGGTTGCAGGTGGAGCGCGCGGGTCCTGAGAGTCGACTTTGGTTCGCTTGTTACGAGCACCACGTTTGGGTGCTGGCTCTGCGTTGTCCGGTTGCTCTGGGCTAGGTTCTCGCGCTGAGGACTTCCTCTTGCGAGAGGCTGGTGCGGGCGGCGGTAGGGCTGTGGGTGGGGGAGGTGCGAGGGGCGAGTGGTCGTTGGTGTTGGCGGATTGGCGCCTTTGCGAGCGAGTGACTCTGGACGACATGAGATTCTGACTACAGGCTTGTGAAATCGAGATGCGCGCAGACTGTGGCCCCGGCGGGTGCAGCACTTCTGTATCGGCAAAGCAAAGTGAGACTTGGTTGTGAACCGCAGCAGCTGATGGTGTTGAACCGTGGGGTAGAAGCAAACTGCAGCAGCCAAGGGTCGAGTGGGAAGGTATTTACCTTTCACGAGGTCCTCTGGATGCCATCAAGGACGCGCCATTAGGCGTGTGCTCAAGCAAGTGCGGTAGGTGCAAACACGGCGAAGGCGGTGGCGGCGGTGAATGTGGCTGGTGGAATCAAACAGAGCAAACGAGTGTATTGCTCTGGTAGTATGATGGGTAATAGAAAGAGATGGTAATACTGTAGTGACGCTGGCGAATACTCGACGTCCATGTCCACCTGCATGCCAGACGGAGCTAATTACGTGACCTGACTAGCGGCTTTGTTGTTATCGATAGAGGAAGTCGCAGTTGCCGCATACGAAGAAAGTACGGCCCGCGCCTGCCCACTCAGTACTGACTACGGAGCATCTTTCATTGCACTACAGCGGTATCAACGGTGAACTATTGACGCCATGGTACTCTCGCGAATATGTTTGCAGTAGCTCACTTGAGCCTATCTGACCGTTGCGGCCCTCCGTCTTGGTCTCGGGTTATCCAGCCCGACTAAGTGGGGATGAAAGCATTGAGGCTGATTTGTCTCATTCTCAAGGTTAGAGTATCTAAAGGAAGCACTTCGCACGCTACTGCTGGGTGTGGTGTTGTCAGAACCTTTCGACTGAGCAGTCCATGGCCACATAGGTTGGAAAGAGCATGTCTTGATAAGACTGTTTGGACCAGGATACGCAGGCAAACGTCGTGTACTTCCTCGTGTTAGCCTACAGTACTCCGATTTCGCTTCAAAGGTCCCTTTGTGAGTAATCAGCTCACTTCTAGTCATCCTCTAGCGCCTACAGTCACAAGTCAGGGTCGGGCGTAACAGACGAGCAATCCCGTCTGCTCTAGGGCCAAGCACACTGATTGTTCAGCATATGCATCCCACGGCCCAAGAAGACTAATTCCAAAACATAGTCGGGTGCCTGTGGGGTCGGGGAAATGCCGACACGCCCACGTGAGCCTCCCACTTCTCCCCGAGCAGTTTGCAGACCTCGCTTGCCATTTGGCGAATGTTCGCATGCAAAAGGCATTTCATAGGCGGGTGCCACACAAAGTTTGCGGCTCGGAAGGGCTGGAGCGCCGGAGTTATGGCACGGCGAGATGTGCGGTTGCAGGCAAAAAGAACAACCCTGGGAAGCCCCGCCGCCCGTGTCCAGTGTCTCAACGGCCGCCTAGAAGCAAACGCAAAATGGTACAAGATGCCCCCTCCTCCACGGCCGGATCTGCCTGTACAACTATTTCCCTCTGTTCCAATCAGACCTATCCCACTTTCACAGTCTCACCTAGTCCGCTTTGTTACGCCCACTGTCTGCAAACACAGTCCGTCGGGTGTCGCCTCGCTGCCCCCCGCGTCATAACCAGGCTCCTATCGACTCACTTCTTACTACCGCCTAGTCTCCCAGTAGTCTCCCGGTGACCCCGTTTATCGCGGTATTCGTAAGCCTTTCACTCATAAATGGTCCCCTGCCGCCGGCAATTGACCTTGCCTTTCAGAAATACCACACACAACCTACCTGCTGCCGCAACCCAACCCCGCCGTCACCTCCGCATTCCACCACTACATAGCCGACCACTCACCCCTCCGAGGTCCCCCCTTGCTATCCGCCCGCGCATCGCTCCAAGCAACATCACTGTCGCTACCATGTCCTCGACTGATAACCGCGACATCCTGCTCGACTCTGGGCTGCCCAACGTCGACGCCATGTCGCTCGACAACTACACATTCCCCAAGGAACGATTGAAGAAGACTCTCTCAAACCCCAAGAAGCAGCCTCTCGTGCTTGTATCATGTGGATCCTTCTCCCCGCCAACAAATCTACATCTGCGCATGTTTGAAGAGGCTGCCGACTACTGCGAGTTCGAGACCGACTACGAGGTTGTGGGCGGCTTCTTCAGCCCTGTCGGTGACGCCTACAAGAAAGCTGGACTGGCTTCCGCACAACACCGAATCAACATGACGAGGATCGCTGTAGAGGACAGCTCGACTTGGATTGGTGTTGACCCCTGGGAGCCGCTGCACAAGGAGTACCTCCCAACCGTCAAGGTACTCGACCACTTCGACCATGAACTTAACGAGGTCATGGGAGGCATTACGAGCGAGAACGGCGAGAAGCGACGCATCCACGTAGCGCTGCTCGCAGGCGCCGACCTAATCCAAACCATGAGCACACCGGGCCTCTGGGCTCGCGAGGATCTAAGCAGAATCTTGGGTCATTATGGTGCCTTCATCCTCGAGCGTAGTGGTACTGATATCGGTATGTTTTATCCAACTCAGCGCTCTACAACTACTAACATGCTACAGACGATGCGCTCGTACAGCTCCAGCAGTGGAGGGAGAACATCCGCGTCATCCCGCAACTTATCCAGAACGATGTCTCCTCCACCAAGATCCGCCTCTTCCGCAAGCGGGGTAAGAGCATCCGCTACTATATCCCAGACAAGGTCGTCGACTATATCTACGAACACGGCCTCTATAGCGACGACGAGAAGAAAGCAGCCGACAAGGGCAAGGAGACAGCATCCACCGAGGCTGTTGGGTCCTCACAGAGCGTTTCTGCCTCTTGAGTAACCTCGAGTACAAATCTGCAATAACCTCTTTGCAGATCGAGGATTGCATGTATCACCACTTCCGACAGGACTGCCGCGCCGCGTGCCGCGGCCAACGCTAGTTCGTAATTACGCTTGGGTGGCAATCTGAATTGGCATTGTAGAGGCGATACTCTCATTACACCGTCACGATCACCCAAAGACAGGCTTATTAGAGAGGCACGGGTGGGCCTTCACAGGCTTGGTTGGTTGAAAAGAGTAAAGGGTAGGATGAAACCCCTATGACCAACGGCGCATTGTTTTTGTATATTTCCAGCTATGATACCACACACATATTCAACAATGCATGATGATGATTTTTACGACTTCCAGTTGCAACTGTCCACGGAGCGTGAGGCTACGCACGAGCTTGCCAATCATTACAGGGGCAGTGATGTCATTCACAGAGAAGCGAGTGGGCGGCGGCTTGGGCAGATCTTCCCTGCCATCGCCGTTGCTAATCTCGGGATACAGGGTCTTCACGGCTTGGTTCAGATACGATATTCCCGGTATGACGTTATGGCATTCTTCAGGAAATGCTATGCAGCGCGCAGCATGCTGGAGTATTGCAGAGAAAGTATCCTGCAGCTTGTTTATATTGGTGACATCGCCACAGAGGCATACGCAGCCTGTCTGTTACCAAGTGCTCCAAGTGTGCGCTGAGAACATCATCACCCGTGGTACCCGCCTTGTCAAACATCAATAACATTTACACAAGGCCGACTCCTCGTCTTGTGTCCAAGTTTGTTGCACTTCCAAGATGGCCAACCAAGCGGCTTGTGGCGCCCAGTGCTCGGCCACGTCAGGCTGAACATCAACAGCTCATCTCCACAGCAACGACGCCAACATCCCAGCAAGCCCAACCTCGTGCATGTGCCCGGCCGCCGATTACACATATTCGCTACCGATATTCACATGCGTCTGAGAGCCGGCTGCGACCATTGAGCGTATTATTATTCCTTTCGTGCTTTTTCCAGACGTCTTATGAGGTGCATTCTAGCCCCACGTTTCTACACCGCGCTTTCGTTGCACTGCTATAACCATCATCATCACCACCACCACCATCCTTTCCAATGAGCGACCGCGAACGTGACCCGTCACGCAGGCGACCACAGGGCGACCAACGAAGACGACGCAGAGAATCCCACGGCGATGTAGATCCCGAACGACGAAGGCGCAGAGAATCCCGTGGTGAACACACGGTTTACGACCACGAGGGGAGACGGAGAAAGGGTCACAGGGCGACAGACTCTTCAGGCGACCTACTTCCGAAGCCACGAAGGCCCTCGAGGCACCAAAGCGAGTCAGAGCAAGAATCCCCGGCCCCACGCAAAGCACGAGGATCGCGGCGCAATTCTACGACAGATGGGAGTCGGAGGGGAAGTCGGAGCTCAGCTCCTCTGAGTCTCGATGCGCTGGCTAAGCTTGACAAGACCAATGCGAAGAAAGCTGGGGGTTGGGGAGCCTACGACTACGACGACGAGTACCTGAAGGAGGTTAGGAGGAAAGAGAAGAATCTAGAGAAGATGAGGGTGAAGGAGGAGCGAGCAGAGAAGAAGAAGGAGCAAAAAGAGGAGGAGGGTAGACGACGCGCAGCTGAAAGCGATGCCGCAATGCTTGAAGAGAAAGCTAGAAGGCGGCGAGAAGAAAGACGGAAGGCTGCTGCGTTGAAGCAAAGTCAGACTGATGATGAGCTCGAGAGGAAGCGAAGCACGTATACCGAAGACGAGCGGGAAGAACGAAGACGCAGACACGAGTCCAAGTACACACCGTCCGAAGCCGAGGAGCGAAGAGAGCGGAGACGACAAGAGAAGCTACAACGCACAGAGCAGAAGAAGCGGCGCGTTATTAGTGGACCTTTGGCTGAAGAGGGCCGCATCGACGATGACGATTCCGATTATCGATATATGATGGAGAAGCGTGGGGGCGCAGGCAGTGGCCCACCAACAGTATACACGGAAGAGGAACTGGCACGAAAGAAGAAGAAAAAGCGCATTATCTTCGGCATAGTCTGCGTTATAATACTCCTAGCCATCATCATACCTGTAGCTGTCCTGCATTCGGGCAAAGGAAGCAGTGATGACGAGAGCTCAGGGAGCGGATCAGCTGCCGCCTCGTCAGGACCAAAGAACGACAACCTAGCCGGGAAAGACCGAAACAGCGTACCAGAAGCAGATCGAGGTGGCATACTGGATCCATGGGCATGGTACGATACTGATGACTTTAATGTCACCTATACCAATGAACTTGTCGGTGGCCTCCCCATTATCGGTCTCAACTCCGATTGGGATGACGACGTTCAAGCAAATCCTTCAGTTCCAAAACTCTCAGATTCGTTCGAATATGGCAAGACACCTATCCGTGGTGTAAATGTCGGTGGTTGGCTCAACCTCGAACCCTTCATCACACCTTCTTACTTCTCTCAGTATGGATCCAAAGACAACGTATTGGACGAATGGACCTTTGTGAGCAAGCTTGGACCGGCAAAGGCCAAAGACACATTGGAAAAGCACTATTCTACGTTCATTAACAAGAAGACTTTTGCTGAGATTAGGGATGCTGGTATGGACCATGTTCGCATCCCCTTCGGCTACTGGATTGTGCGAACCTACGACGACGATGCGTACGTACCTCAAGTAGCATGGCGCTACCTCCTGCGTGGTATTGAATACTGTCGCCAGAATGGACTGCGCGTGAATCTTGATCTTCACGGCGCACCAGGTAGTCAAAATGGCTGGAACCATTCTGGTCGCCAAGGCCAAATCGGTTGGTTGAATGGCACAGACGGCGACAAAAACGCGCAACGTACGCTGGATGTCCACCACCAGCTCTCCGTCTTTTTCGCTCAGGATCGATACAAGAATGTAGTCACCATGTACGGACTCGTCAACGAGCCCCGCAACGTCGAACTCGACACGGAGAAAGTCGTAGCCTGGACACAGAAAGCCATTGATCAAATCCGCGCCGATGGCATCAAGGGCATCATCGTCTTCGGCGACGGCTTCATGGGTCTAGACAACTGGCAAGGCAAGCTCCAGGGCAACGATAACCTGCTCCTCGACGTACATCAATACGTCATCTTCAACACGGACCAAATCAAGCTCAAACACCGCGACAAGCTACAATTTGCCTGCGAAGGCTGGACTCAACAAAGCAAGCGCTCCATGGACAAGAAGACAGGTTTCGGTCCGACCATGTGCGGAGAATGGTCCCAAGCAGACACTGACTGCACACAATACATCAACAACGTCAACACGGGATCACGCTGGGAGGGCACTCTTCAATCAACCGACAGGACTGGCGCAGTCCTCGCCCCGCAATGTCCCCTACAATCTTCCCAGTGCTCCTGCGACCAGGCCAATGCCGATCCTAGCGACTACTCCGACGAATACAAAAAGTGGCTCTACCAGTTTGCTGTCGGTCAGATGGATGCGTTTGAAGCTGGCTGGGGCTGGTTCTACTGGACGTGGGAGACGGAGAAGAGCACGCAGTGGAGTTATAGACGGGGGCGTGAGGCAGGCATTTTGCCAGATAAGGCGTATGAGAGGGATTGGAAATGTCCCGGGGGAGGGATTGAGAACCTGGATCAATTTGAGGGGTTGGCGGAGAACTATAGGAGGATGTAGATGGGGGATAGGGGGAGCGGAGGAAGGAGTGGATGTTGTATACGATGATTATGCTGTGCTGTTTAGGCTTTGGCCCGCTTTTTCGCGAAACGGTAATGAGGGTGGGAGTTTGGTCACATTATGAAGTATGATCGTCGTTGATTGTTGTTATACATAGGATGAGCCCATGCATTTCCCGGCGTTGGTTACGGTATTCATCCAATTTAATACATATGTCTCAGCGCATATACTATTTCATGTCCCTTCTTAAGCGATAATCGCTCGACAACCAACAGTCATCAGCTTCTCCGAAGAAGCTCGTTTTCTATGAGCTATACCACCCTGAAAGTCTATACTTAGGTGCTGTTGCTTTTTTACGAGAAGTGTGAAGAAGGAAAATACCACGTATACCTTGAGACTACGTTTTCCGTGCTAGATACAACTCAGAACAAAAAAAAACGACCTTCTTCGCAGTACAGTATTCCATGTTCCCAGCTAACTGCTGAATCAGCGAGGCTGACACTCCCATCCGCAGTCCTTTCGTGAACACGAACAAAGGCCCCCACATCTCATCTTACCCACCATGATCTGAGCTTTTTCATAAGGCCATCCACATTTTACGACTCATTGCCGCGGGATTGAATGCCTAATTCCACATCTCCATGTCTTCACAATTCCTAGTCATGTCAACGGTCGAATATGTTCAACATTCCGTGCTACTTGCGAACCTTGGAGATGCGAAATTACATACTACACACAGGCACAGTTGCTTACCACGCCACGTCATGCTCGCACCGTCACACGACACATGTTATTGCGATTGGCAGGAGGGCTTGCGCAAGTCGCTATTTTAAGGCGGGCCGGGCGGAGTCACTGTGGACGTAGAATCCTTGAGGACGATCATGAACAGTGAGCAGAGTTGCCAAAGCGGTGTCGAAGAGGAGGCGGCTGTGTGGGCATCGTTTTTTTGGCGAGGCAAGATGGGTTTATATCGTGTGCTGTAGCCTCTGCTTCGTTTTTTTTTTATTTTAAAGCCATCACTTTTGTCTTTTTATTCTTCTTCTTAACATTCGTAACACGGCGTTATACACACAATCTCGCATTCCATCTCTACAACATAGCAACCATGCCTTCGCGCATCACCACCCACCAAAACCATTCTCGAAACTCCATCTTCGAAAATGATGCCCAGAAACGCGGGTTCATCATCGTCATCATCCTATGCATTCTAGCCACCGTCGGCATGTTCTGTCTCATCATCAGTCTAGTCGTGTGCAAGAATAAGCGCGATCGACGGAAGAGAGCGGCGAAGATGAATGCTGGGATAGGTTTGCCCGGGGCGAAGGGCAAGTATAGAAAGTTGGAGGATGAGGAAGAGGGAGGTGATGGTGGGGTGTGGAGTGTGGAGATGGATGATAGGCGGCCGACGGCTTACAAGGATGGGCAGTATGCACAGGTATGTGAAGAGAGAGGAAGAGGAGGGTATGAAATGGGAGGTTGAGGCTAACGGGTGTATCAGGTTGATGTTGATGTGCCGCATCCGGAGACCTCACATAAATGATTTCGCCACGTCTTGTGATAGATGAGACGACAACAGTCAATGCAGCATTTGCTTAGCTTGTCAGCAAGCAAGTGTAAAACAGTTCCTGGCATCGGGTTATTCACTCGCCATCAACCACCACCACCACCACCACATGAAGCGGAGTCGTATCTCATTACCTCATCAACGCCGAGCATCGCTACTGGGATTTATGCCAACTGCATACTACTAGCAATTGCGTCTACTCATCTCTCTAGGTTGCTTCCAGTCATGCCTCCCTGGTACAGAGGGTACGAAGTGCGCGCTGAAGACGTACCACGTTATTCGGAAGTATGTTGGTAAGGAGAAAGGTGAGTTTGGATTTGAAGCGTGGGTTGAGGAGAAAGGAGAGACTTTTGTTGATTTTAAGGCTATGGTGGAGGGAGGGGAGGTGTGGGAGGGGAGGTGTGGAGGGGAGGATAGTCGATGAAAAGGTGTTTGGGAAGGGGTTTGGGGAGGTTACAGTTGAGCGCGTTGAAAAGGTTATGAAAGATGAGAAGAAGTTCTGGGCGTGTTTTAGCAGATGCTGGTAGAACGCTATTGCGGAAAGCATGGGAAGAGGAGTTGAGATGGCTTGGTAGATGAGTGGGAGGATGGAAGGATTAAGTTCCCAGAGCTGTGTAGAAAGAAGGACGAGACTGTTGAAGATGGACGAAGTTAAGATGAGACCTGATACTGATGTTCATAGTATCTATTCACGTTCTCGTGTTATTCTAAGCGTTTCAACGTTGAATCCTAATAACCCACCACAATGCATGCAATGTCTTCACGCCTTGTTTGCACATCTCTTGTTACAACACACGTTGAAAACGCCTCTACTGCCCGTCCCTCTCAGCGAGCATCTCCTCAATATGCTTGTTCAACCAATACCTCCCCAACACCTCCCTGCTCATATCCTTGGCTCCCTTGATCTCCCCAGCACACTCTCCCGTCTTGCACAAACACTCAAAAGGCTGAGCCATACTCCACTCCGTACTCGGATAAAAGAACGTCAGCTCATCGCCCTCCTTCAGCCCCTCTCCATCATCGGACACCCTCACTTCCCAGCGCTGCATATCAAACACTAGACTGGGCTTGCAGCTATGGTTAATATATACCAAGTCGCAGTTGAGTTCTATGTGGAGGTCGCGCGAGGCTTGGACGGAGGAGTAGGCCACGGTGGCTGGTGTGGGGCTTGTGATGCGGGCAAAGACTGCGCCAGGTGGGAGATTGACGAGCGAAATTGAGCGCGAGGTAAAGGAGCCTGGGTTGTGCTCTACGCGGAGGAGACGGGAGAGGTCGGGTTGAACCCAAGCGGGGATTTGCGAGGCGGCCGTCGAAGAAGGTGTTATAACGGGTTTGGTAGACGATTTTCCGTTCGTGTGGGGTGTTGTGTTGGTAGGAGGAGGGGTCGAGGTTACGGCTGCTGGAGACATGGCGGATGGCGAGGATTCGATGTCTTGAACGATGGATCTAAGTGTATGAGGTGAGGATTGGTCAATATATTTTGCTGTTTGGTTGATAGAGGGCATTTGGTCTTTTAGTACTGCTTCTCCCCGACAGCAAACCGCCTGGGCGATGGGCTCAACTACACGCTTGCAGGCATACTAGTGTCCACATGAAGACGCAGTCTTTTCCTCCGTGTGGGGATACCACGGCTTGTTCCACCTGGTTCCATATTGCCGAACAGGCCTGGTGTCTCTATTTAAGCCTGCTTTGGCGTACGAAGGCCCGAGGTACCTAGGTACATGTGCCCAATGGCACGTGAGGTGAGCTGCTCCGTGTATCATTGTATAATAGTATTACGCGCGGTCATTCCACTTCAAGACAGGATAGCGAGGATCAAGCGGGCTGGAAGCTGGTATATATGTCGTCGGCCTTGCATGGTGGGGAGCTGCTAGTGACGTGGTGGTTGGATAGTTTCCAGGTTCTCCGGCTTCGCAAACAGCCTCGGCAGTGTGAAAGAGCGCTAGGCCCGAAATATCGTAGGGTCTTTGTATAGCGCTCGAGGGCTCTGAAGCTATTCTAAGACATGTATACATGTGGTTGGCAGAGAAAATCGGCAGCTTTGGGAATTTGAGACTTACAGCCAACGTCAGTTTATGTCGTATTAGTCTTTGAATTACCTACAAAGCTCTTTGTCATCGTCGAACGTCCTCATCACACTGAACCTACCTATTTTCCGTGTGTCTGCTCAACCGGTACAGCGCCATTTTCATCACTCTCCGCACCTGCCGCGTCTACGCTCTGGAGACCCATCTTGCTTGTATCGTACCCATTCGCCGTGAGATACTCTCTAAACTTGACGTCCTCCTGGCCAATGGTATCCTGGCCGATGTGCGGAAGCAGCAACACCAAACCAGCAGCTACAAAGGCAAGGGTGGAGGCCACGAAAAAGGGGTTGCGGCCCGCAGCCACTGCGTCATCGCCTGCAGCTTTTTGTAGTGCGTCGAGAGCGTAGGAGCCGGCGAATGCACCGATCTTGCCTACAGCTGCTGCGATACCGTAGTATTGGCCTCTGTCTAGGTGTTAAAGGTTGGAGGGATGAACATGTAATGAGGAGACGTACCGTATACCAGTCGCACAGGTTTTCGAAGCAACCAGACCGATATTATCACCTGGTCCGAACTCGCCCAGCGCAAGGAATATACCATACACCACAACGAACCCAGCGACGTTCTCAGGCTTGTTCAGCCAGGGATAGCACCCAGCCATGATGAATCCGATGATACCTTGCAACGTCACGCCGATAAACAGTGTCTTCTTAGGGCCCATGGAAGGTAGATCCGCAACGAAAGCACCTGCAAGGCAACCGGGCATGTAGAAGAAGTTGATGAGTATGTTCCATGCCAGACTCTTCCATAGTGGTGCCGACTCGCCTAGTAGATTGGCCAAGATAGATGTCGCGTAGATGCCGAATGAGTACGCGCTGAAGTCGTAGATGAACCAGATAATGCTGACTATGCTAAGCCGGAACCAGTAATACTTGATGATAAGTAGCCATGGTGTCTTAGCTTTGGCCAGAGACTCCCGCTTGAATGCCTCGGGCTCTTGTAGCTTCAATCGAAGGTAGAGTAGCGAGAGAGGCGGGATGATGCCGATACCAAGGCAAATACGCCAAGCGACTCGTAGATGGTTTTCCCCTGTGGCAAGAACAACGACAGTAGCGACGATGGCGCTGATAAAAAAGGCCAGATCAATCTGTACATTGGTGAAGAGAATAAACCATTTGTTCCGTGTGCCTTGCTTGAGCTCGCCGGTAGATTCTGCGCAACCGACGCTGCCTGCTGGGTACTCTCCGCCGATACCTACCGCAAGTCAGCAAGTTGAACAAGCACGAATTTTCTCCAGAAGCATGTACCTATTCCGAGGAAGAACCGATACACGACGAGCGCCGTCAATAGTCCACTCGGACTCCCACCCGCCCCATAGGACGCCGTTCCCAGGATGGCGAAAAGTATGATGATGATGGTCGAGGTGAAAAGTGACCATTTCCTCGAGAAATGATCAGATGTGTAACCGAAGAACAACATTCCAACAACTGTACCCGCGAAAGTTATACTCGCAACGTTTGCTTGAGCGGAAGAGTTCGTATATGCGTCTGGGTAGATGGTCTTCAGCATCGTGTTGACCGGTCCGATGATCTACAATTCCTGTATCAGCATTTCTATTTTCACAGCTCCAGTTTTGGCTCCTATATCGCGGTGGCGCATGGTGGGATAGGGAGTGATGTTGTCGCGTTGGGAGATGTCTTGTTGTCGCTTCTTGGGTCGGTTTCTGCGTACATTGTTGAGGTAGCCATCTGAGAACAAACCAGCTCCGCAGGCGATCACAGGCCAAAGTCTCTCCCATCTTCCTTTCTCCGTCTTCGAGACGCTGGCGCTACGTTCGATGTCGCCTTTCTCGTCAGTCGCATGGTATTTGTCCGGCTGGATTCCCGCGGCGGAGGCCATTGTAATGTCGCGTGGGGCTTAACTAGAATGCGATGAAGCAGGGTCGCGCGTCACGATCTTCCAGCGCAGTGAAATGGTAAGAGCTTCGTAGCGACAGCGGATAAGCTTTCAGACGGGAACCGCTCAAGCTTTAACGGTTCCAAGGTCCACATTGAAGCTAGATCTTGCTCGATACCCATGTGCTGGGTTTGTGCCACTCACGGCAAAAGACCATGTGATAACCATGGTAGGAGCTGTATCGGGTTTGGTGCAGGCCTGAAAGATTAACGAACCATTCACAACATGAGAAAGCTTTTTCAATACCCGAGGCATGGGATGCAGAGGCCCACGAGTTGTTACCCAATATAGCAGGTACAATCTCCACCGGGAATACCGATCACGAAAGCCGTGGAAGCTACGAATCTACTGATGGTTGCGCGGCCTTTGCCGCTCGAATGTTGTGGCACTCGGGAATAAGGTCTATAACCGCTCCTAAGGGAAGCGCAGCGCGATTGGTAATTACTACTGAGAAATCCACGAGGATATCATGAGGGTCAAGAGTCGTGTTCAGCTTCAAGCTTTGCCATGCATTGTCTCAGGCGACCGAAGCATCTGCACGTTGCCTGAACAGGTTAGCTGCACTAACGCCGCTGACGCCGCGCAGGGCTTATTCTGCAGCTGCTGAACCGAAATGGCATATGAGCACGCGATCTTCAATACCGCATCCGATGATCGTGACAGCAGTTTGTTACTGTACTGGGGTAGCAGGGGAAGGTTTAGTATGTGGGGCAGCAGCAAGGATTGTTATCGACTAGTAGAAGTTGAGATGGTATACTAGACTATTTGTATCTGGTATGGCCGCCATCCGCATTAATTACAGCCTGATACCTCTCTCCCATACTATTCACTAAGGAGGCAAGATCTTTAGGTGCAATATAATCCTATGCTTCTTTTACTATACAACGAACCTGGTCATAAGTCCTCTGAAGTCCATCTGGGAGATCTGGGTAGTGAATCTCTATATGGCCCTTTATCTAGTTCTACACAGCCTCAATTAGGTTAAGATCTGACGAGAAAGCTAGCCACCACAGAGTTGGCACCCTCCTTGACGCTATCTCACAACGAGTGCCCCTTGAGGGGTAAGATGAAGCGTTATCCTGCATGAAAACTAACCCTAGCCGTATCCTCATCTATCTCTGAACAGTAGGGATAGCCCGCTTACAATATCTTTGTGTTAGTACTCCCCTACTCCTTCTCCTAAAATATATATATAGATCCTTTTCACTCTTGTTAAAGCAGCCCTAGAATATCTAACCTCTCTTTTTAGATACTTTGTCTACCATACAAGTATTATTAAAACTCTCACTAGGTAACCGAGCACGTGCCGAGTAACCTGCTTTTTCCTGTGTCGACCCCTAGTTACCCAGCTTTCATCACTCTAGAGTATCTTTACTACTTAACTGTCTAAAACCTGTAGGCTCTTGCAAAAGCTACCCGATTGTCTTAATTTGCCCGCGTAAGGGGTGGCTTTTGGAGAGCCGCTCTTCTTGAATACCTGACCGCGCGGAGGGCTGAGCGAATAACGTACTCTCTAACATGCCATTGCAGGTTAAAGTAGTCGGCAAGTTTAGAGCAGCTCATTTGTGTTGTTTTCTTGGACGACCTAATAAAAAGGATAAGCTTCTGTACTTGCTTAGGAGATAGTGTCGAGGGTCTACCTGTCCTCTTCTTTGGGGTGACAGGGACAGTAAGCACGTACTGCACCTGCCTCAAGGTAAAGTTAAGATGGTCTGCTATCCATCGCTGTGTGTGGCCAGCCTTGTATAATGTATGTACCATAAGCCGCTGGTCTCGATTTAGTTGTTTTCTGTGCTTAGGGGTACTAGGTTCGTCCATGGTGGCTGTGGGTAGAGAGAAACTGCTGTTGCAGCAAGGTGGTGAGGAGACTAATCTTGGCCCAAATATTACTATGATAGATAATGTTTACTGCCTTCCGAAATCGCACCAAACTAGCGTCTCCACATACAAAACTTTCGCCTGCTACCCACAGTATCTGCTCATTAGCATCAAATCTACAGTACTGTACCCTACTGTACAGGTATTAGGCGAGTAAATTGTGTAGTAGGCGCAGTACCATGTACTGATTTAGTCCTGGAGATCAGAGTAAGAATGGCACAGACAATGTTGTAACGCAAAGCCATGGTCTCGTTTGCTCTTTTCAGTCCTGCTCACATATGTTGGCGGGAAAGGGATTCGCAGTGGGCGGTTGGCGCTTAGATGACGACTCCCAGATCGAGCGAATAACATCCATGTCCATGCAGGTAGAAGCGCGGCAAGCGGAAAGGCAGGAAGGAACACGAACAACAACACCGTGCGCGATTGTGTTGAGATCCGGTACGGCATCTTTGCGGGGGAACCATCGGTGATTGAATCAGTCACCATCGACTCCATCCTGCGACTACTTCGGACCGACAGCTGTGGTTGCGGGCCGAGGAGCATTGGAAGCCAGGAACAAGACCGAAGGATCCACGTGAGCAAGTTCAACCGTGCCCAACCTATGATTGTGTTGATTAGATGACTACCTCATTATATATTCATCTATGTATGTGCTGCGTACAAGAAAAAAAATGTTGCATATTGCATTTCTGCAGGGTATCACGCGAAAGATATTAGCAAAGACATGTACTCAATCCCTTCCCCCCCAACAAGATGACTCTACTTTTTGTCAGACGTCGTGGTATGCTCAAACGGAAGCGATGTTCGTTTAACCGTGGTCGTCACCTGTCCCCGTGAATTCGCCCTATCCATTTCCATAAACCAGTCGTCGCCCTCGCTCTGCGTGAGACTTTTTGAACTCCGGTTTTCGTTGCTCGGGATGCGGTATAGGTGTCGTGATGATTCTTGACTGGGACGGCCAGCGAGGTCTGTGCCCATCGTACGGCCAATAGATGAGGCAGCGCTTGGTTTGTGATGATGGTTTATCGGGGATGACTTTTCGCCTGACTTCCGATGTGTTTGGTCGGATATCGTTGTGACAACGCCCATCTTGCTGTCTCCGCCTGATGACGCTATCTTCCGGTCACTGAGGCTAATACCGCCGTTGGAGTCGAAGCTGTCGTTTCTTGTGACATGTTCAACATGTATCTGTACTTCGTTGACGACAAAAATCTTGTTAGATGCCAGTGTTGCAATGGCGGGCCAGAAGATAGGTATGGAAGCCGTGATGATGGCAAAGTTGACTTCAAGAACAGCGAAGATGTACACGGCCGGGATATGAAAAGACATGTCGAGAACCGGTTCGGTACCGGCCTTGTTGACAGACATGGCGATCATGCGGCCGATGGCTACGATGACGACACTGGCGTATCATTAGTACAAATTCCTTCTGTACGCACGTGGTTCACTTACACACAGCCTAAGCTAAACAGGCTGACCAAGCCTACTCGGCTTTTACCCGCAATCCTTAATGTGGTTACGAAAGGAATAGGTACAAGCAGGACCAGAATATCCAGCAAGCAATTACTGACAGCATGTCCTAAGAACATGTGGAAAAAGTCCTGAGGGTCTTTGCTGCCCCACCCAATGCATGTGCCCTGCAATGTGGAATTCCAGTTCTTGGCGACGGGGTTGCAGGAGAAAAGCGCGAGAAAGAAGAAGGTCAACCCCCACAGTGAGCATATCGCAATCATGGTCCATGTAATGCGTCGTGCGAGGCGATATTGAGCGGTGGTCGTTGAGGGTGCGGCTTCGGCAAAGAGACGAAGATACTGTATCAGTATAGAGACCTTGATTAGCGCTGTGCTTGCGGTGTAGGCAGCATTTGTCGAGTATATGTGCTGTAACCGTTGTCAGCCGGAGTCATGGCCACTACGTCAAGTTCAATGTAGTACCTTAAAATACGACATTAGGTGCTCAGCATCGAGTGTCCACAAGTGTAGACCGAGACCATCCTCCGGCACTGTAGGTGATTAGTCAACCGCTTCTGTCGGGAAGATGTCGATAGACATACTCATGCAAACCATGATATCTCCGATTAAACTCGCTACGGCAGCGAGGACAACGAACAAGTCATCCCAGCCCCAAAGATGGTCTTTGATACGGAACCATAGTCGCAAGCTTAATGTGAAGATAGCGAGTGTCTGATGGAATCAGTACGAAGTCGTCAGGTGTCTATAATTGCTACATTGTCGCACGTACCAGAAAAGCGACTGTGACGCCGAGAATTGTCGCAGGTTCGTTGACATTTGGTAAGTTCGCATTGTCTGGATGTTGTCTTGGATCTTGTAAAAGAGGAGTATCGGTGCTCATGGTTGCGCGCTCGACCGGGCGGATATTATGGTATAGGTAGAACGGATATCGTGTCGGTTAGCAAATCCGAATCGGTATGAAGGTAATGTAGCTAGTTGCGATAAGACTCCATTACATGGTCCTACCAACGCAGTGAAAGATTCGAGTTGGAACTGCAAGAGACAGTGCTACAGTAGACCCAAAATCGTGGTCGAGAACAAGGCTACATCAGATGAGGAGGTGTAGCGGTCTAATACGTTAAACGGTGGGTCTTTCGTGCCGAATGTCCAAGTCATGGCATGCGTGCGTTGCCCTCCCTACGACACATGGTGCAACCCCTGCTGTCCTGCATGGAGGATCAAAAACGGGGTCGTGCAACTAGCGGCAGGTAAGCCTGTACATGTCCGAAACCCTGCTGTGATAGGCGTGATGGGTTGCTGCGTAAGGGCTACACCTACTCGGTCCTTGTGAGACATTGGTACTGGCGTCTCTGACAACGCCTCTTTCAAAGACTACAGTGCTGGACTAAGATAATAACCTATCATTTACACATTCGACGCCGAACTACAACGCGGGGACGCCGCAGGGATCCACAGCAAGGGGGGCGGAAGCAAGACATGAAGGCAGTTCAATCGGTGGTAGTTCGTCACTGTTCCAGCTGAACAGAATGAGGAACAGGTCGACATGAGAACGTGGTGTGGTGGCAAACAGACAGTCTGCTGGCTGTTGAGTTTGATTGGTACCCCGCAAAACAGCCTTGCATCGCGGATGGCTGAAACAAGATAGCCCAGAACTTTGTTGCTTAGGTTTGCTTTAGATGCTCGATATGCACCCATTTTCTTGATTTTTCTTCTTCTAGCCTTGATCTATTTCCGTGACAGGTACGCCGTAATGTCGCTTGGTCACAAAGGAAAGAAAGCCGGCGAGCCAATAACACTGGTGATGTATGGAGGAGACTTGAGTGTGTCTTGTCCAGGGGATCCCTTCGAAGATCAGATCCTTTGAGAAGGAAGCTCCCGTTGGTGGCGTTGCTCATCCTATGATTGGGAAGGAGCATGATGTGGAATGAATGGTCGTTGAACACTGACGGTCCGCAAGGGTAGATGACTCGGTTTCACTCCTCCCCGGGGACCACCACTCGAAGCGAGCAACTATAGCCAGTACCCCTGCTTGCAACGTCTCATGGTGGTGATGATCACAGCGGCGATGGTGATCTCGGCCGCGCCGTATGGCTAAGGAATGGTTCGCATGGCAATTGCAAGCTGTTAACCAATGGCAATCTCGATTTAGTTGGGCGCGAACTACAGTTTCGCAAAGGTTGTCGGGGACGTTTAGTCGAACGCGCTCGGGTTCAACGGGGCCTTGCCGAGCATGACGCGACGACGGTTCTGTAGCGGCGCGGCGATAGCTCAGGTAACATCCCGTTTTGTCCCTTTTCTTTTTGACCTCCTATCCGGCATTGCCATTTCAGCCTGGGGGCCTCGGGGTTGCAAACAATTGAGGACTACGCCTCGGGGAGATATCGGCATGGGAAGCCTGTAAGCGCAACCCCCCGCTGTATCTGGTGGCGCCCGCTGGGCCTATTCGAGCGACTCATGCTTCTAAATATCTTACGACTTCTCAATACAGTAGACGTGTCGCTATACAGGAAGTGTAGTAAGTGCGTGCTTGCTGCATGATGGCCCAGAGATTAAAAAGAGCCCACACCGCAACAACTACCAGCCACCACGCCCTGTTTTCGTGTCGATGTCGCTTGCTCGTATCAACGCAACGCTGCTCACATTTCTCGGCAGTCACCCCGGTATCCATGATGAGGTCAGATGGAAAGCGATGAAACGAAAGGATGTAGGGAGGTGTCGAGGAACATACATGGGTAGTGTATAGCGGTCAAGGGTCTGAAAAAAGCATCCGAGATCAACAGGGCAGTTGCCCAACGTCCTCGCATAGCAGCACACCCTCCAACGACTACCCCAAGACGCAATACGATATCTAGAGCCATATTGCTCTTTCTCAGCTATCCTGAACACTACAGCTTCCCGCTCGGCATATTTGCTTTCTTATCGCAGCAAAGATGAGGAAGAAGACTAATGCTTCATTCGCAACAGGGTATACACAGTAAGCTTGGAATCAAGCGCGCCATCGTTCGAGGCCATGCCACAAACGCAGTATTTCCCTCACTACTGCATAGGCTTATATTGCTGAGATTGTTCGTGGAACGAGAGTCTGGTTAGGGAAAGGCTGACGACCTGCTGCATCTACAGCTCCCACCGCTCGTGAGATGTAACGTGGACGCGCACGCTCAGGATACTTCTCTTACACTGACTGAGAGGCTTGACACCGTCACTACACAACTCAGTTATCCTTTGGGTACATCACAAAATTCGAATCGGGCGTTACGCGACGGCTGGTGTACATGTGCCGAGGAAAGCTTTATAGACTTGATTGTGAATGCAGTCAAGCGCCCCAGTACTAACTTGACCGTTTTGTCGCACTGTCCTGGACCCTGGTTCACCAAAAGATCCGGTGGCTATCCCTCAACGGTTGGTGACCCAACTGGCTCCTCAGGCAGTTCCCGTTCCCGATGGCTGCCGATACCAAAGAACTTATTGATACGCCAAACGATGAACGAAAATCGTGGCATCCAGTCGAGCTTGAACACGTCGCTTCTACCTGAACTTTACTGATTATATACGTATAGCCTGCCACACTTTACGTATAATTCCCTTCTTCCCAATGATTTTGGAATCGATCCTTTTACCAGGTGGTCTCCACAAGACTCGGGCCCACAAAGCGCGTTACCTTGAACAGACAATTCTCCGATACTGTTCTCGAATCCACGAAGCCCCTCTTCGTTATCCACATTATGACCCAAAAGAAAGTCCACGTTACGTCACAACGGATCTGGCAGATATACTCGACTCATGGTCGCTGTCAATGCACGCATTCAGTCAGACGATAGATGTCCCGGCGTTAAGTTGCTGCATGCGGTCGCTTAGAAAGCTCACAAGGAGATGAAGCCAAGATCAGCACTGGTTCATTGACCTTGGCCTATCCATATTCGGGCTTATCATCGTTCGTATGTTGCGCAGTAGGTGATCTTATCTCTACCCCAAGTTCTAAGACTGGATTCGGAGCGAATACGGCGCAACGTCGGTTCTCACGTCACCAAAACGCGAATTGTACGTGCTTCACCTCGTCACCCTACAAGTACATGCGCCAAGCACCCGAGAGATATTGGAAATACGACGTTTCAATAGCTCGCAACCTCAAGGTAGTGATACAGCCTTTTGTTTTTGTACGGATCCAATGACCTAGGTCAAAGTGGTACCCCTTTCCATGCTCTTGTATTGCTTGATATGCGCAAACAAGCCGGCTTTCACGTAGACAGCCCACATAAGGTCGAGAGGTAACTATACATAGAATTCCGGGAACTGAGCTGGGTATTATACTACCGCTTCAGACGACACCAGCACACTAGTGCCATATATAACTAACCTGCCCAAAGTTCAAATTGAAGTAAGTGCAATCGGATCATCGTAAGACGAACACGAACACAAGAAGAGTGGAATGGTGTTCCACCCACAAGTTTTTGAGATCCCCAGAATCGCCCTTTACCTCAATTTTTGTCTCGTCCTTCCGATATAGTGGTCTATTCTATCCTAGTATCCACGACTGTACGGGTACTAGATAAGTGCATAGGGAATAGGTAACTCGACAAAATCATAAACAGTAAACAGTAACACAAGTAGGGGGTTTCATGTTATCAGCATCATAACATCATCAGCATGCAGCCATTGAAATACTTTACAACTTCCGACCGTCTTCTCAGTGCACTCGATCCTTATTTCGCATGAACTAAGCCGACAAGCAACATCTTCTCTAGCTCTATCATGTCGCGCTTCATTCATAGGCATCAACGAACGTCCGTTTCTTACGTACATAGGCACCTTGAGCATGTCCTTCATCATTAAGCATGATTCCATTTCATTTCCCATCAAACTCCTTCCTAATCAGGCAGTTTGCAGAGAGAGTGTGGATAGCGGTTTCACTCTTACTCTTCTACCACCCGCTCTCTTCACTCATATATTGTTCTTTCCTTACCCAGTAGTTTTTTGGTAGGGCGTCGGTTACAGTAAGCTTTCACAGACGCGTATAGCGACCGTGGCGAGCAGGGCTGCCAGAGCTGTTAAAGCGCGCAGGGCTGCAGTAGCTCTTACCGTATGATATTGGAGGAGAAGTGGGTAAGATTGGATCTCAAGCTTCCGATTGCTGGAAGGAAGAGGTTGAAGACAATCGTGTGCAAGGAACGACAAAAAGGAGAGAACGGAACAGGATGGAAGAAGCGCATATGTTTCGAGTAATAACCATGTACAGATAGTTTGAGTATTGAGTAAAGGACCATTGAGTAGCACAAAAAACGATCTGAGGTATTGCATACATACTATTCTTCCCAATCCGTAGCCCACTCTCCACTCCACTCCCACCCCATACAACCCAGAAGCACCGCCTCCAACTAAGCAGTCTTCCTCCACTGACTCCAAACCCCCAGTAGCGAACTCGTCGTACCCGCCAAACCAACAATGCCATCATCCAAATCGACCCAGCCCAAGGCCGAACTTGGGATAGTAATATCGCAAATATCACTAATCAACTGCACCTTGACAGCATTAAGCTCTTTCTGCAGTTTCTTCGTCTCAACAACCTTCTCTGGGTCGGAGGAGGAAGTGATGGTCTTGGAGTGCTGGAGGAGGTTGTAGTACGAGTAGAGACCCGAGGCAATGGAGAAGGAGATTCCGGCGAACCAGGCGCGGTAGCCTTCGCGGAGGAGACGGGGAGCGAAGGAGGATTTGCGGATCGATGTTGCGTCGAGCTGGGGCGTTGTTAGTTTCCCATGTTCTGATGATGACATTGCGTCTCCCCTTTCTCAAAGACGCATATATGACGCATATATGACAGGTGAACATGAACATACCACACAAGCATTGTCGCATAGCATGTAGAATGCATATCCCAACTGCCTT